GATAGGATATGGGAAGAGGCGATAATTTATCTTATTTTAAAAGAAAATAAAAAGTTACTATAATTGTTTCTATTTGTGATGAAAGGGGAAGTCATTTATTTATAGGTTTCATTTCTTTGTCTTTACTATATTCTTATTTTTTCTTTCCATTTTTCTGTTTTTTCCCCTGCACTTTCTCATTTTTCTTTTTACTCTACCATTCCAACTAATGCATTTAAACTGAATGAAATCCCTTTAAAAATATCAGCAACTAAAAAGGGCTCAGTATCTAAATGTTTACATTGCTGGCAGGAATGCCAGGTGGGATGCCATGATCACAGCCCATTCCTTCTGTTCCTGGACCACAACTTGAATACAATCATACTCAGGTCCTGGTTACCCTGGCTGGCATCTTCCTCCATATAGATTTCCTGGGCAAGGAGGGGGGGTGTCATTTCCAAAATCCATATCATCATGGACATCATCATGGATATCAATTGGAAAATTAATTCTGCACCAAGTGAGAAATCAAATAGGTTCCTAACCAACCTAGCTGACAACTTTGTAGTCCAAAAGGTAGAGGATGGAACTAGAGGGACAGCCATAATGGACTTAACTCTTACAAACAGAAAAGAAGTGACAGAGGGAGTTGAAACTGCAGGAACCTTGGGTGAGAGTGACCATGTCATACTAGAATTCAACATAACACAAACACAAGCAATAGAACATAATGACACCAAAGTCTTGGATTTTAAAAGAACTGATTTTAATAAACTCAGAGAGAACTTGGGAAAGATTCCATGGATGAAAATCCTAAAGGGGAAAACAACTCAAGAATCTTGGGAAACTCTGAAAAGTACGATCATAGAAGCCCAGACCAGCACAATACCACTGAGAAAGAAAAACAAGAACTTCAAGAAGAAACCAGCATGGTTACACAAAGATCTCTGGCAAATTAAAAGAAAAAAAGGGACAAGTACAAAAAATGGAAAGAGGGACATGCAGCTAAGGCAGATAGCCAGAATCTATAAAGATGAAGTCAGGAAAGCAAAGGCTCAGAACGAACAAAGACTTGCAACAAAAGTCAAAGATAATTTTAAAAAGTTTCTTCCAACGTTATATCAACTGACTTGAAATTTAGGGCTTGGACAATCTTGAACTACGCCACCTACGGTTGGACTTAAGTGTAGCACACAAAATTATCTGCTACAATGTCCTACCAGTCAATGACTACTTCAGCTTCAACCACAACAATACAAGAGCACACAACAGATACAAACTCAATGTTAACCACTCCAACCTTGATTGCAGAAAGTACGACTTCAGCAACAGAGTGGTCAATGCCTGGAATGCACTACCTGACTCTGTTGTTACATCCTCAAACCTTTAACCTCAAACTATCCACTATTGACCTCACCCCATTCCTAAGAGGTCTGTAAGGGGCGTGCATAAGTGCACCATCATGCCTCCCGTCCCTGTCCTATTGTCCCCATTTAATCGCACCTATTTCCTGTATTCTTACTCATGTTTATATTGTATTTATATCTATTATCTTGTAAGCGATTGACAAATCAAATAAATAAAATAAAATAAACATATATATAACAAGAAAAAAATCAAGGAAGCAGTCAGTCCACTAAGGAGAGAAGACAGTAAGGAAGTAACAGGCAACAGAGAGCAAGCAGAGATACTTAACTCATTCTTTGCATCGGTCTTCACACAAAAACAAACTATAGCTCAACCCACCAAAAACATAATTGTAATAGACAGACCAGAAATAAAAGTTAAAATAGGAAAAAAAATGGTAAGAGAACACCTGTCTAATCTTGATGAATACAAATCACCGGAACCTGACCGATTACATCCCAGAGTTCTAAAGGAGCTGGCAGAGATCATCTCAGAACCACTGCACCATATCTTTCAAAAATCCTGGAGTACCAGGGGACTACCAGAGGGCTGGAAAAGAGCTGATGTGGTTCCCATCTTCAAAAAAGGGGAAAAAACAGACCCAGGAAATTACAGACCAATCAACCTAACATCAATAGCCGGGAAGATACTGGAAAAGATAATAAAAAAACAGATCTGCCAACATCTAGAAACAAGTAAAGTATTAACTAGCAGTCAGCATGGGTTTGTTAATAACAGATCATGCCAAACCAATCTTATTTCATTCTTCAACGTAGTGAATTAGTAGACCAGAGAAATACTGTGTATATAATATACTTAGATTTCAGCAAGGCATTTGACAAAATAGACCACAACCTACTTTTTGGTAAGCTAGAACAAAGTGGGATAGGTAGCACCACCACCAGATGGATTTGCAACAGGCTGACAAAGTGTACTCAATGAGTAGTCCTTAACAAAAAGACCTAGACTATGTATCTGAATGGTCTAACATATGGCAACTTCAAATCTCAACAAATAAATGCTCTGTCTTACATATTGGTAAAAAAAATCAGAAAATAAAATACAAGCTGAATAGTCAAGATCTTGTTGATGACCCAAGCTCTGTAAAGGACCTGGGAATACTCACCTCTAATGATCTAAGTGCTAGAGCCCACTGCAACTACATAGCCAAAAAGGCATTAAGAGTTGTTAACCTAATCCTACGTTGCTTTTTCTCTGGTAATATCTCACTACTAACCAGAGCATACAAAACATTTGCTAGACCAATACTCGAATACAGTTCATCAGTCTGGAATCCTTATTACGTATGTGATATTAACACAATTGAGAAAGTCCAGAAGTATTTCACAAGAAGAGTTCTCCACTCTTCTACTCGTTGTAGAATACCTTATGCCACCAGACTCGAAATTCTAAAACTAGAAAACCTTGAATTACGCCGTCTTCGGTCAGACTTAAGCATGGTATATAAAATCATACATTGCAATGTCCTACCTGTCAATGAATACTTCAGCTTTAACCATAACAACACAAGAGCACACAACAGATACAAACTCAAAGTAAACCGCACCAAACTTGATTGCAGGAAATACGACTTCAGCAATAGAGTGGTCAATGTCTGGAATACTCTACCCGACTCTGTAGTCTCTTCCCCAAACCCCAAAAACTTTAACCTTAGACTGTCTACTATTGACCTCACCCCTTTCCTAAGAGGTCTGTAGGGGGCGTGCATAAGCGCACCAACGTGCCTACCGTCCCTGTCCTATTGTTTCTCTTATTCTATTATTTTTCTTATATGTACCCATTTCATATATTCACAACTATGTATACACTTGTACTTATTATCTTGTAAACAATTGACAAATCAAATAAATAAAATAAAATTAATGGGTCTAAGTCTACATGGAGGGAAGTAAGCAGAAATAACTGGAAGTAAGCGGAAATAACTGATTCGGTGTTCATTGCTCATCGCTCCTACCGGCTTGCCAGAACCGGGCCGAACCAGTCGAATACCACCACTGAACAGAGGGATACAATCAAGATCAAGTAAGGCACTAATACCACTTTATAAAGCCTTAGTAAGACCACACCTGGAGTACTACATCCAGTTTTGGTCACCATACTATAAAAAAGATGTTGAGACTCTAGAAAAAGTAGAGAGAAGAGCAACCAGGATGATTAGGGGACTGGAGTCTAAAACGTATGATGAATGGTTGCAGGAACTGGGCATGGCTAGGCTAGTGAAGAGAAGGACCAGGGGTGACATGATAGCAGTCTTCCAATATTTGAGGGGCTGCCACAGAGAGGAAGGGGTCAAGCTATTTTCTAAAGTACCTGAAGGCCAGACAAGGAATAATGGATGGAAACTGAACAAGGAGAGATTTAACCTGGAAATAACATGACAGTGAGAACAATCAACCAATGGAACAGCTTGCCTTTGGAAGTTGTGCAAGTGTCATCACTTGAGACTTTCAAGAAGAGATTGGACTCCCATCTGTCAGAAATGGTGTAGGGTCTCCTGCTTGGGATGGGGGGTTGGACTAGATGACCTACAAGGTCTCTTCCAACTCTCATTATCTGTTATCTGTTATTACATCCACCCCCTGGTTTACCTGAAATGCTCCCTGGAGGGCCTGGATGTTAACCTCTTGCACCACCTCCAGGCTATCACCCCCCTGTAAGTCATCCCGGACATCACAAAAAGAATAATCATTACAATGGAAACCATAGGAAGAAACAAATAGAAATGAAAGAGTTAATATAGAAGTTAAATAAATAAGGAAAATAGATACGAAATGTCAACAATTGTAATAAGCTTTAATCATTTTTTCTTTCTTTCAGCATAGTGGCAGTTCCAGCAGCAGCTCAAATTCAGACTGAAGAACTTTCACCCCAGCATGAGTTCAGCTCTTCAGGAGCTCCCCATATCAGTCCAAAATATTTTAAAATTCTTCCATCCTTTGTACTGTACATTCTTATGCCCATGAATCATAAGACATGTAAGTTAACTTATCCCAACTTGGTGAGCTCTGCATATGTTGAATCTCAATGTAAGTTCTCCATCCAGCAGAGCTTTTGAATTAAAGGCAACATCTAGATTCACAACTGTGAAGAAGTCTGATATAATATATAGTTAAATTCATAACAGTTCTTCGAAGAAATACTAATGAAAAGTATTTTTTGCATCAGCTATTCAGTTTATCATTTATAGATAGTAGAATTATTAAGAATTATCATTAAGTCCAAAGGTGTAGACTAGATATCCAAGCCTAAAAATTAGACAACTAAATAAAGTACCACTAACAAAGTAGTTCCATATTTTTCCCATCATATCAATGGAATATATTCATATAGTACCCAGAAACTGAGCTGCACTTGAGGGAAGCATTATACAAGACTGTATCATTTTGTGTCAATTTTAAAAAAGCTTTCAATTTAATAGGAAATTATGAATTAGAACTTATATTGCATAAACATTTGCTTTATATTCTTGTTTGATTATTAATTCTAATAATTAAGAAAGTAATAAAACAAGCATAAATGGTAAAAGAGTAAATGGTAAAACTGATCCTTCCAACTTTAAATCACTACAAAATGAATGACATTAAGATATTGTGAAAAAAGTTTTTATTTATCAGGAGTGCAATTGTGGCTCAAGTAAGGATGTCATTCCAGAAACAATATTATCAGGAATACATTGACATTGGGTATTCATTGCTTATCAATTAGTATGGCTTTGCACAGTGGCCCTTTGGACAGCTCACACTATATTTCAGAGAAAGGATAATCTATGATTTATGAAAGAGATTATTAGCAATTAGAAATAAGACCAAAGACATATTTTCACTAGAAGATTGAAAGTATAAGAAAGGCTCTGTGGTGTGGAACAAAACAACAAACAAACCCCAAATTATTTGGAGCTAGAAGTGTGCAAACCAGTAAAATATTCTCCATGTTAATAGGGCAGAATTCTGAATTACAACCATATGTTTATAAAGCCATATTTTTGGTTTCATATGTTCATAATTTATAGAATTTTTATATTATACTCATCTTTGTTATGTAACACTTCAATTACCTTTCCCCCATCTCTTTAAAAATGTAGCCATGCCTTCTTTAAATTCTTCATGTAAATTTGCAGGCTTTAAAAAATTGGTTGTTATGCAATTTCTTTGATTGGGGAAAGCAATTGGATGGAACTGTTTATTCTAATGAAGATCTAATAAAAGCAGAATGCTCATACACAGTTCCAATAAACTCCTTTATGTGCACAGTAGTACACTTTAAATTGGGATTCAGTTTAATGGTGCTTATCATCATTATTGTAAAAAAATAACATAAAATGGTCTGCCAAGTCAAGTCAGGGAAATTCCAGATTTATACATGGAACATTGAAAGCTGATGGCACTTGGCTTCAATTAAATGTAGCAGGAAATCCAGAAGAGAATCCAGCAGAATCTCTTTACATTATACTGATGTCCATTTTTAATGAGACTCCTTCTTTGGGAGTAGAACAGTACTGGCACAGGAAGGCTGGATGCCATATCTTATCAGTACAAGTAATCCTCCACTTACAATCAGTCGCTTAGTTATGACAGACTGTCAAAAAGTGATTTACCACTCAAGAACAACCTCACCCCCTCCCCTGGTGCTCGACAACCAGCGTGCATTTATGGCCATTTGTAGCACTCTGCAATTTACGTTTTTTCCAGAAATGGGCTTTACTTCCAATTTCCAACAAAAACTGCCTCATAGAGAAGAGAGAGTTTGTTTAATGATGATGGCATTCACTTTATGACTACTGTATTCACTTAATGGCTGCCATAAAAGGTAGTAAACATGGGTGGGTCATGTAGTGAGTTGCTTTACAACCATCACAACTTATGACTACCTGTATAGGAACAAAGCTTCTTTTCCTAGATTTTTTTAAAGATGAAATAGCTACAAATATCTTTGTGAAGTCCATTTATTACGTGCACCATGATACAGGGGAGACCATTCAACGTTGCAATCCTGAAGCACGTACATGGAAAGAAAGCAAGGAAGACTCGGTGTTTACTAATAGAATAGACCAAGTGCAAGACTCAGTACTGATAAAAATATTTCCTGTTATTGTTTCAACTGCAAAGTATCTCCTTGAAAACAGAGGAAATGTTAGCATCACAGTCAAGGCACAATGGAATTACCCGTCTACCAGTAATTGGGTGAGTGGGAAATAATGGGAGAGGAGGGTTAAGATGGATCCTTGGGGCAGCTGGAGATGATAGTTCTTTATGCTTTACATTGACTGCACAGTTCTTCTATTCAGCACCAAAAATATTACAATATAAAAATCTTAAACAATGTTTTAAAGTCTGACAAATGATACTGTGGTGTTCTGTAGCCTCCTATTATTTTGTTTTTAATTAAGCACCATAAACATTACTTGAAATGAGCCTACCAATTTTGAATATAAAAATAAATTCCCTTGAAAATTTGTGCCTGCTACCCTCTGGCAGCATACTTTTGCTTAAAAAGCCCCATGTAACAATATAAGAGCTTAAAAGCGCTGGTGTCTACCTCACAACTAACAGATCCACCTAACAAATCTATCAAAGAAGTCAGGCTGGGAGAGACTTAGGTAGTCCTTCTCCCGGAAAATGGCTGACCGATCTCCTAGACTGATTTTCAGGAGGACATCCATGTCCACATCACTGCCTAGGGCCACGGTTGTGGGCATAACGTTCTGCTTCTTCATGGAATCAATTGCCTCTTCCAGGTTTTTGTTGCTTGTAAAACCATCTGTAATGAAGACAAAGGACAGCTCCGCATTACGCCGAGCTGCCTTCTGCCTGTCTTGTGTGTTAATGACAAGGTTGTTGACAGCATATATGATGGCAGACCCAATGTTGGAAGAGGAGTCCAAATATTTGATCTTGGCTAAACGATCTGTGATGTCAGTAATATTGTATGTCAATGGGAAAACTATGTCATGTTCGTCCTCATTTCCATATTGTAGCAGGGCAATGCGTGCATTCATGTCGTCACTGTCACTTCTGGCCAGGGGGAGCTGCTCAGCCACTGCTTCTATAAAGGCATGGGCCCTGCGAAAATTCTGGCTGCCAATTCTTTCAGAACCATCCAGGAGGAAGACAAGGTCAACTGGACGCTGGATGCACTGGGTGACAGAAAGCTCTATGAGTAGGGAAAGAAGAAAACAACAACAACAATCAGGACTCTAGAATACATAACTCAAAAAGCCGGGGAAAAGATTTCATTCCATTCTGAGATTCTAAGAGATCAGGTGGGTAAATATTTACTCTTTCCTCATGTTCTTCCCTCTAAAATATAAACCCATTTCGGTAACTCCATAGGGACACTGAGACTTTAAACTCTGAGAATGGCAGAGTTTAAAGATCAAGTGCTGTGTGGAGTGGAAATCCATGCAACCAAAAAGAAAAGTACAAATAGAAAAAAGAAGTTGTATAGTTAAAAAATTAAATTTCTTTGGGCTGGGCCATATGCCCCTAGCCCCTTGGTAGTCAAGGTTTTAACTGAAGAACATTTTTGACTAGTATATTTGTGCTAAAAGTTGGTATTGTTATGGCATGGAATATATAAAATGAGTCAAGTGGTAAAAATACTTAATTTTGATTAATTTTGTGGTGGGCGGCATTTATCATAAAAAGTATTTAAAATAGAGAAGGCAGGAAGACAGACATAAATGCCACTAACTGCAGCCATTAGCTTCTTTATTAAAAACTCTGAACTCCCCTGGGTTTAAAGAGTAAAACACAGAAAAGGGGTTTTGTGGTGATTATATTTTCCAAATGTTTCTTTAATGGAAAGAATTTGAGAAACTTTGAAAGTTTCTCAAATCCTCAAATAAGAAAGGGATGTATTGGGAAAGCATTACAGATAGTCCTTTTTTGCTGACTGTTTGCAGTTACAATGGCAATGGAAAAAGTAACCTTGAGACAATTCTCACATTTATCATCTTCACATGTCCGTAAAGCAGAGGAAAACTGAAGGAAGAGCATAAGCATAGTCATATTTTCACTTAGTGTCTACAGTTAATGGCTGTGTTGCTAGTCCCAACTCTGGTTGCTAAAAAAAGGATTATCTTTATTTGGAATAAGGCCTAAGCCTAGCTAGGTTTTTGTTTGAAAACATATATTAAAGTTGCAATAAATAATACTCTACTTAGCCAAGGTTTGTGCTTTTTATTGAGGTTTCATCTCTTTTGCTTTCACATATGAAAGCACATTGCACATATTGCTATTGACATGATTAGCAAAAATGACAATAACAAAAACAGAAAACATATTCATAAACCATTTTATGGAGAATAAAACTTTTACTGGCTAAATAAATTAATTGCAAACTTTTATCCAAAATAAAAGCATTCTTGCATTATACCAATGTCTCCTTGGGAAGAGCACTCCAAAAAGTCTCCAGATCTTTCTTTGTTTTCTGCTACATCACAGCTAAAACAGATTTACACAAGGAGCTTTGCTGAGGTTCCTTACCACTGGCCATGAATTGCCAAAAATGAAATAACAAGGAACAATTTCCATTAACTCTGTTTCAAATTATTTCTAAGGTCATGTAAGGCTGTGATTGAAGCCTACGGTACTGGAAGTAAACAGAATAAAACCAGTGCATAACTGTACCCACAAAATGACAGACTGGCCAGGCAAATTCCTGCGCATGAACACTAGTTTCTGAGTGGGATTTTCTCCAGATTGAGCCTGTTTATAAGGAGTGTATCAATATTTCACCAATTGATGTAAATGGTGGACAAACATTTACAAATTAATTAGATTATATACTTCTCTCTATACATTTTTTTCCAATTATTACTATTTCTATGGATGCCAGGAAACATTAGTAGACATAGTCCATACCAACAAATTTATGCCAAAAGAGGGCTTCTATTGTTTTAGTGTATTTTGTTGTTCAACTGCCTGGATGATATTTTGCCAAGTCTTTCTTTAAAGTCATTTTTGGCCTGCTTACCCATTACTCCCTGGCACTATTGCACATGTTTATTCGTAGCCTTTTTTGTTGTGACCTGCTGGCTGAGTCAGGTGATATTTGAAAAATGCAGGACCAGAGGTCAAAGGGAAAGTCTATAACACACCTATCTCTACGCTTTCCCAAAAAATAAGTGTTAATTCGTATTGCTTTCCTCATATGTTTTGGTCCACTCACACAGGTTTCTTAAAAGTTGCCACCTGTGTTTGTAAGACTAGTAAGCAATGAGAAATGCTATTAGCATAATATAAAATGTTAAAAGAGGAAGGAGAACTGGGAGACAATAAGAAACTGAGCAAATAAAATAAAAAACAGAAAGGTGAAAAAAGAGAAAAGGTGCATTAATATAGATTTCTTTTTAGCTTCACCATCCTATGTTCGTGCTTTGAAACTAGAATCCAATCAATTCCAATTATCTTCGCTATGGTCTTTGACAACTTCAGACTATAAACAAGGTGGTTATATTAGTAGATGTTCTGGTGGAGCACCACTGAATTACAAGCCAGAGTGTACAATTAATAGAATAGCTTGTCTCTTGGGATTGTGGGTGCTCCATTACTGGAGGTTTTCAAGAATAGGCTGGACAACTATTTGACTGCATTTGTGTAAGGCTCCTGCCTTGAGCAGGGTGTTGGATTGGAAGACCTTCTAGGTCCTTTCCAGCTCTATGATTCTATGCACCTTACACAATTGTTGAGAACTGTGAGTTTTCTGAGTATGGTAACAGCTTTTCATGCCATATGGGAATGGTCTTATAAAGTGAGAAAGAAAACTCCAGAGGTTTAACTTAATATCTCTGAGTCTCTGAGATAATCAATAAATGACAGGTGTCAGCAGCCATACAGACTGCCTCCAGCATGCTATTTGGGGGTCCTGTATTTCTGGAATTTCTCAGAAAGACAGCAAATCTGGGGGTGAAACTGCTTGCTATCTAATATAAAATGTTTTAATTTTGAGGCTCTAGTCTTACTTATTCTTAGGACAATTTTTTGAAAACATGCTTAGAATAACTACAGATAGTCCTTGACTTATGACCACGACTGAGCCCAGAATTATGGTATCATAAGTCATGGTGGTTGTTAAGTGAGGCTGGTGATCCTGCTCTTCCCTTGCAGTCATTAAGTAACCACATGGATCATGAAGTGGAGCATGAGGTGCACTGCAGCACCTCCCAGCTCACACGTGGCCTGCCCCAGTCCTTCCAGGGTCTCTCCCACCCCAAGGGAGCCCTTTGTATAGTTTCCCTTCCTGCTGAGTCACACACACACTCTTGGACCTCTTCCCCTCTATCATGCCTCACTCCACTTATTTTCCCCCCAAAAAAATTACCTTTGGAAAGAGAAGCACCTGACCTGCTATATGGTCTTCCTATATAGAGCTTCATGATGCTGTTCAGAAGCAGGTGCCATTTTGGTAGTGACTGCAATTCTTGGGTCATTTGTGGATGCCCCCAAAATGATACCTGCTTCTGGGACAGCACCATGCAGCCTCTGTATAGAAAGGTTGCACAGTGCACCAGCTGTTTCTTTTTCTCAAATCTTTGGGAAAAGTAAGTGAAGCAAGGCGGGAGGATGGAGGAGGCCCAAGGGTGTGGGATCCAGTGGGGCAGGATGCAAACCCAGGGCCTGTGAGGACCAGCTGAGTAAGAGGAAGGCCCAGGAGACCCAGAGGTTGCTGGACGAAGCCCAACACATAATGGAAACCACTGTATAGGATTACCAACCAAATTACCCACCAAAGCTCTTGGAAGTAAAAGAAAGAGTCAGACAGACAGGCACTTACAAATAATTAGCTGGCAAAAGAAGGGAGACAAAATATTCACCGGTTCTTAAAAAGCAGTTAGGGTTAAATATACGATGGTCATGCCATGGTTTCAGTAGAGAAAGAGACATACATTGAACACTTAGAAACATTCCATATAGCACCTTAATTGTAAACATTGTGTTCTAAATACTATTTGGGAAGTCAAAGAGCAGAATGTTGTCACTCTTCTTAATTTGGATTTTTTCAGAGCAAGGATGTTTCATGTCTTCTGGAGGGGAGCCACCATTGGTCTGCATTCCAAATATAGCAAGCATTTCATATACCATATTAATTAAAATATAGGTGGCCCTTGCTTAACTTTGGTCATTGGGACTGTTTTACATTTACAACCACATCATTTAGTGAAAGAGTTGCCAGTCCCGAACATGGTAACGGGACTGGCAATTCCATTGCTAAGCAGTGTGGTTGTGAAGCATGACATCACATGACTGCGCCAACTTATGATGGCAGTTGCAGCAGTCCCAAATGCTGTTGATAGGCAAATCCTGCACAGCTGCAGCACCCCGTTGTCACTTGATTGACATTTGCGATCTCCTGTCCGTTTTCTCATTGAGTTTGCTTGTTGGAAATTGACAGTGAAGGTCACAAATAGAGAACTCATGACTATGGAATGCTGTGAACCACTTGCCAAGTACACGAATCACAATCGTGTGGCTGTGGGGAATACTGTAATGGTTATAGCTACAAGAATCTGTTGTAAATCCCCTCTGTGGCCATTTAATGAGAACAACTTCTAAAAATGAACCTCCTCACCCTCTGGCCGTCTCTTTAATGCTTTCCCTGCTTCTTACCAATTGGTAACAATCTCTTGCAACTGACAAGATTCTTGCAGGAGTGTGTGTGTGTGTGTGTGTGTGTGTGTGTGTGTGTGTGTGTGTACCTGATCTTAGAGACTCTGCTTTAGCATATATGCCTATCTCTCAGCCCAGGCAGGTTTTAAGGTAAGGAATTAAAGGGTTGCACTTTCCTGCCTTCTGTGAGTTTTTGTGCAGTGACTGCAATAATTTCTTGGCCAGGGCCAGGATGCTGGTTATTAAGTAAAGCTGCATGTAAGCCTTAGCCACACCAGAGCAGACACTTGAGAACGATCCTATTCTAGAAGCTTATTTGTTATAATCTGGAATTAATAAAAAGTAAAGGAGAAATCTTTAAGCTAAAAGGGCTGTCCATTTAAATATCTTTAAGTTCTGTAGGCCAAACCATAAATTTATTTTTGTCCTAGAGGCAAAATAATCATTTCAGCAAAGTCCTATTACAGTCTCTGGATCCCCCACAATTTCTCTGTGCACCATTTTAAAAGTATCAATGAACAAGTCCATCCACTCTTGCCGCTCATGTCCAGTGGCAAACTTGGCTTTTTCGGCGGTATAGGCCAAGGTGGCCACCAGTTGGGTATACATGCTGGGGTCCTGGATCTCCCTCGTGGAGTTCAGGAACTGGGCGATCATAGGTTTGGTGCTGGGCAAAGTTATCTCGACCTCCACAGGGCGGAAAGTAACTGGGTACCTCCCATCTGCAAGTGAGGGTCAAAAGAATATTTTCAGGGCTATGCTCTGATTTCAGATCCTGCTGGTTTTACATACTGATACTGGTGCTGAATTGCTGGCCAGTGAGTTTAAATATGGTAGTCCCTGGATAATACTTTTCCTAGAGCCCCGTATGCTATAGTTTGTGAGGGCCATTAAAAAGTCCTTTTATGTCTTCCAAGGCATTTTAAAATAACTTTAGTGCTTTTAAAACTTCATATTGTTTATTATGCTGCTGGCTACAATGTGATCTTAGGTGCTGCATTTATTATTCCTTTGAGATAATGCAATTATTGGGACATTTAAAAGTTAACAAGCAAAATAAACATTTTAAAGTAGCCCAAATCACTACTAATATTTAAACATAAACACAACATATAGATATCTAGCCAGAAATCCAAATAGGCAATGATGTTAGTCTGTTACAGCACACACAATGAAGAATTCTGTCATTCCTTAAAGATTATCAAAAGAGTGATGGCATTTTGTGGACCACAGTAAATGGATTCAAGGCCACAAGCACCTATGTCACAGGTAGGCAACACGGGGTTTATTGATGCCAGGCTGCCTACAAGACTCTTTAAGTGAACAGCAGACCAGAGGTGGTATTCAGCAGGTTCTGACCAGATCTGGAGAATGGGCAAATGCCACCTCTGACTGGAGGTTTTACAGTATCCTTCCTCTGCCACACCCACCAAGCCACGCCCACAGAACCGGTAGTAAAAAAATGTGAATCCCACCACTGCAGCAGACCCTCAATTTATAGCAAATTCCAGAAAGTCCAGGTTCAAGTCAGCTTGATTTGATTTTTACCATGGATGTGTTAATATCAATTTGTTGTTATGTATCTTTTCAGCTACTGTATACTACAGAAAGTGTACTTCAGGGGTGGGATCCTACCGGCATAGCAACCGGTTCGGTGAGCGTGCGCAGTACTTGCAAACAATATCTCCTGCAAGCAATCACCATCTCCTGCTGATGAGCAGCACTCAGCTGTGCCGCACAAAGCAACTAAGGTAAGAATAAAGGACAGCCTACAGCCCGGGTGGGTGGGTGGACCCAACCAAAGAAAAGACGATCTTCAGAGAGAACCGGTTTGGTGTCAGCTGCTCTTCGGAGCTACCGGTTCTATGGAACCAGGCTGAACCGGTAGAATCCCACCCGTGTACATGTTTATGACAGGCATTAATATGGTGAGTAAACAAGGTTGAAAATATGGTTGTTTTTAGGAAGGAAAAAAAAATCTTGCCCAGTACAAAGCCCAAATGGCACATTTTTCTCAGTATCAACTGAAAATCATTAATTCTCCTAAATCCTTCTCTCTACTTTTCATTCAGGCAGAGTTTTGATCAGGCTAATGTATTTGTTCCCTGCCCAGGCTGTTTTCTACTGAACCCATACTTGTTTACTTGTTTTCACTGTATAGTGCTGAATCCCTTGATCCAGATGCCTCATCAGTCTTTTCTATTCATTGCAAAGAGATGGAGAGCCAGTACTTTAGGCCTAAACTGACTACAACAGGGGTGTCAAAGTCACATTGTTATGGCAGTGTCACATGATGTATTGGAACTTCCCCCCCCTTCACTAAACTGGGTGTGGGCATGGCCAGCGCATGATGTATGGGCTGGGAGTTTGACAGCCCTGGACTACAATATGTACAAGTTCTATTGTTCCTTTAAATGAAGAAACGAAGGAAATTTGTGTTCTCTTACGGTCTTTGAAACAATTATTATTGAACAAAGGAAAAAGAGCAAAGGAGCAATATCAATGATTTATGGTGTATTATGAAAGGTTTCTTGAATGCAAACTCCAACTTTGGATGTCTAGGGAAATGGGGGCTTAGAAAATGTAAAGCACAGTCAATAAAAGGTGGAACATTTTCAGAGGCAGCAACGGTAAGACCTGTCTCTGGAAAGATTAGGACAAGTTCACTGGAATTCAGACAATAATGATATCATATCCCATTTTTAAAGCAATAATTTTAAGGACAGTAATCAGGCATTGCAAGCTGAACAATATCAGGTTGCATTGCCTAAGAATCCAAGAACTTGTATGTTAAGCAGATACATGAGGTCCATCTACTCTAACAAGACCAGGATTAATGATTATTTGGAAGAGAATGTGAAAACAAAGTCATGGTCAGATTTATACTAAAAATACCCAGAATGGAAGTACAGTAAGAGACTTACTGAATTTTTGCTATTCCAAATTATTATACTGGAAAAGCCTTTGCTCAGAGAACATAAACTGCAGGATAGTAAGCATAATAATTCTTTTAAACAAATTTTGGGGAAAAAAATCACTGCTAAACACTTGAAAGCAATTCAAAGACATTTGTTCTAAACAGTGATAGACACTTTGTAAGTGAAGTTGAATTATCATTTTGAAGGGAAGATTTAAAGAGGTTGTACATCACCCCAGTATTAATATCTTTTTACTTAATTATTTGAACTTGATTATTTTTATTCTAATTTGTTAATAGTTGTGTAATTTTAGTGTCTGCATTGATAAATAAGAAACTATTTTACCAAACTTAAAAGAAGAACCAAATCACACACATTATCTCTTTGTAGTACAATAAGTAAGTACAGAAGCCTGTGGAAAATTATAATGTTTTTAAATTATATCTATGGGAAAGTTGCTATCTTTTAATTTTCATCTATTGGTGGGAGAGAAGCTATGTAATTTCTAAATCAACATTTGGAGGTTAGAGACTCCTGTGGTGTTACTGAGCAGTGGAAAGGAGAACTCAACCAAGGTGTCCTTCTGGATGGATCCCACATGGCATTAGTTAATGACATTAGGAGGAAATTTTTGGATGAATGGAATGATGGATGGATGGACAGATGAGATGGATGTAGCAAGTTAAAACTGAATTTACATTAGAAATGCTTCAAATAAAGAAATCAATCAAAACTTTTCATAAGTACGGTAGCATTCTAACACACACAATTTACAAATAGGGAGCCCTTATGATTTAGGAAAGATAAATGGTAACCTTTTACCAACATAGATTAGTGTGTCACCTACCTGGAAAGAATGGACCTAAATCAACTATGCACTAGTGATATTCCAAGTCAGAATTTGTAGCTACTGCATGAAGGCATCATAGGGATACTGCTGGGAATTAGAGATTAACTCATACATTGCCAAGTTGCAATGGTTAGCAATGTGTCTCTGAATATAAATTAGAACACATTTTTCACTTAGAAGCAATGAATGCTTGAGTTGAATTGATCACCTCAGCATTACATCTGTATCACTTTACTACCTGCAGTTGGAGGTACTTCTGTTTCTGACAGCAGTCAGAATGGTGAGTTGTGAGAGAAAGGGCCTTCTCTGCACATTTCTAGAACATAATATCAATTGAAGTTATTAAGCCCCATCATTATCCTCACCCCTTATGAGCTGCATTTTATGGAACAGCAAGTATGAAGTTGGAATGATGTTTTATTATTAATTACTTTGATTGATAGTAATATTTAATATTTATTTTATCTCATGAGTCATTTTGGACTTTCTACTTTGGAAGATGACATATTTATGTAAACTAATTTAACTAATCATGTAGTAGGACCCAAAAGAATGACATATATCATGTTGTACCAACAAGGGAGAAATGAAGAACATTATGTAAAAGTTACTGAGGAAATTCCTAAAATATCAGAAATTTGTCCTAAACTTTAGAGCCCAGAGCTATTTTATATGGATTGATCAAGAGTTCAGTTTCTGCATTATGGTTACTGATTAGAATTGGAAGCATCAGGATTTAACCAGTTTCAAATGTGCCAAAACATAAACCAGCATTTGATCACTGATGATTAGTGGCAATTTTCCCCAATGCTTCTATTAAGATCTCTACTTTCTTATGGTTAATCTCTCAGCCAAGATTAGGTTGCTATTCTCAAAAGGGACATGTCAGAAGAGGTTTTTACGCTTTGAGAAACTACTGTTTCAGAAGACATGGGCTATTTACAACATATCCATAAAGCAGAATAGCTATAATACAAGAATATTTTCTACTTGTAGAATTAAACATTAGGAAGGGATAATATTTAGAAATAATGTAAAAATGTTGAGTTAGAGCGCCCATTCTTTGTTTAGCTCAGAATTCTTTTACATGCTACAGTAAATTAGGGTGGAAGGGGAAAGAGGATCAGAGTTCAAATTATTTTTCTTTTACCTGTTTGGCAGGGCAGTTCAGGGCAGACAATCTGAGGATCTGAAAAATAAAATAAAAAACCTTGATGGAAATCATCCAGATCACATTTAGCTTACAACTACAACAGTATACAATGTATACATATCAACAATAAGGCAGGATATTGAAAATATTAAGTTTTAAACTAGTGCAATCAAGAGAAGCTAATTAATCCTTTTTCTTGGGCCATTTATATTTCAAAATGATCTTCCATGCAGGGACAATGACATGTTGGCCCAGGTACTTTTCCCCCTTTGTCATGAAAGTGAAGCAAAGGGATTAAGAGAATACTTCATCATTAACAACAAATCAATTGAATCTCATTTTCATTTAGGATGATAGCCTAATCAAGAGTGTAGAATTGGTATTCAAACTCATTCTAAGACTGGCAATGACTACTTTGATCAAGTTTTGAAAACTGTCCTTTAAGACTTTACTAGTGGATACAAAATACGGTGAGGCTGTGCTTTGGGCTGCACAGGCCATTCTAATTAAATTGCACTAGCAAACACAGTTTTCTTCATAGTGAACTGTAAATGCAGTCGGGTATAAATGTTATCTTATTGAAACAATGCAATTTTCTCCCAAGTACTCTTGCACATGAACAACGATTTAAACTTTTAGTCAATATTTGAAAATGAAAGCCTCACTGCTGGACCAGAGCATTCCCTATTGGCCATTCCTTCCAACTCTGAATATCACTAGACCTTGACAGCCGCTACTTTTTAAAATGGACATGCCATGAACATAATACTTAGCCTAAATGTATGAAAACTCTGACATGCCATATTACTTTCTTGCAATTAGCCTTAGCGAAGCTTGCATTGACTGACCTGGACAAAGTTCAATCTCTATTTTGTCAAGGAACTCTTCAGCCACTAAATCAGTGAAGACTTTCATTCTTTGGACTCTCTCCTGGTCATTACAAGCAATTGCTTTCAGAGTCTCCGATTCCTCGTCTACATTGAACATGTCTCCAATCCCAATGGCATTGACCACGACATTTCCATCACAGAGGGCTTGTAAGTTTGAGTCTTTATCTCGAGGGTCATGACGTCCATCAGTCACCACCACAGCAAACACCCGGGCTTTATCTCTCCGGCTTTCTTTGATGAGTGTTTCATAAGCAAACTGAAGTGCAGAGGGAGTCCAGGTACCCCCTGCAATCCACTCCAGTTTCTTCACTGCTTCTTTGAAACTAGAGAGTGAGTCAATGCGTTTGTCATTGAGCTGGATGGCTTCAAAAGTTCCCTTATGACTGTACTGTACCACTCCAACACGGGCACCTGCCAGGAAAATAAACTCAGTCATAATTCCTAGATTTTGATATTCTATTTCCCCTTCATCACAGTGATCTCTAACCCCTAGCCTGTTTGAATGCAGATTCACATGCGTACTGGGCCAATGATTTGAAATCATTTTTAGAGACCATTAATACAGTTACTATAAAATAATGCTTAGAAAAAGTATCATTTTTGATCTTTAGAGAAAGGGATGGTTCCAAAATCAAGTAACAATTGACACTGACATAATGTCACATCCCAAGTAGCGGCCATAAAGACATCAACTGCCATTTATATTGCCTCTGGAACAGACCTAACAGGACATTTTGGATCTTCTTTTTATTGATGAATGACACTACTGGATGTTTTTTCACTGTATCATCCTTCCCTTAAGAGCAGCACTAATGAAGTATAAAACCAACTACTCCAATGAAGCTTCCAATGCAGATAGAGGTTGATCAGAAAGGGCTGTGGGTATGTTAGAGAAAACTGGGTCCAAATAAAGATTTTTCTATATATCTTTTCTTTAAATTAAATCAGTGTGGAATATTGGTGGGTCAAGATAGCAAATATTTGCAATAATGACATGGATCGGATATTGCTTCCTATGTTGCAATTAATTAGTGATTGAAAAAAATGTGTGTCATCATACAAGAATCGGAGACCATTACAGCTATGAGAATATTCAGCTGTAAGAATAAATCATCAGTCACTGACCTGTCTCAGATTTTGGATCTTTGGCAATGGACCCTAGCCTGCTCACCACATTGATAACAAAATTTTTCTCCAGGGAAAAATTGGTATAGCCGATACTCTCTGAACTGTCTATGACAAAGACAATGTCCAATGGACCACACCGCTTCTCACAATCTATGAAAAAGGAAGACAAAATAGTCAGGAGTTGTACCATAAAACGAGTCCAGAACCATAACAACAATGCACTGCGAATAACTGAGAAGTATTTTAAAGTATGGAGCCTCCTGAAGCCTATTTGAACACTGCACATGTGAACAAACCAGGGGCTAACATTTTGAGTTATTGCACACATCATGCTAACCTAGCTTTCCTCAACCTGGCATTCTCTAAATATGTTGGACTATTCCCCCTATTCTCCCCAGCCAACATGGCCAATAAGAATGATAAGAGATAGTGATGCGAGGGCACTAGAATACAAAATGCAGACAGTTAAGCAATACCATAGATTATCCAGGCCATGTGTCCCCAGGCAAAGTTGTCCCTTGCAACATAGTGTGAAGCTTGGCATTTGGAAGTTTAAGCTTCTGGTACAGCTAAATGCTATTTAAGCATTAATTAAGCAGCTTGGTCAGAGTTTGGAATGAATAATGATGTCAATTCAGATCCCAGAAAAAAACAGCAAAAGTACATTCTTTCACCTCTAAATGCATCCTTTTTAAGTTAATGGCCAATAATTTTAAAGGAACAACAAAACAAATAAACAATATCCTTCTGGGTTATTTCCCACATTAGGCACACATCCATGGTAAGCGGTGACTATTTCTGCCTATTTGCAATGAATTAAAAAGAAATCTACTGCTTAGAGTCATCTACAGTTCTGCAAATCCTTTTGATGTAAGGGCTACTAGTCCTACCCTAAACTGTCCAAAATTAGCATAGCCATCAAATAACTGAAGAACACCATGATATGATGGCAACTTTCCCCTATCAAAATGGTCTGATTTCCCCCTTCTCAGAGAACCCTTCCACTCTAAATGAAGACCATGCAAAGACTCTGAACAAACCACAGCAGCCACAGGTCTCTCTGATGTAGGTCATCACATCGCAGTCCTATCAACGACAACAACAGCAACAATTATGTATGCAGAATATGGGCATTAGTAGATTATCATAAATATTATACAGTCATGTGCATTTCAGTGTTCCGTTATTGTAACACTATAAGCCCACAAATATCTGTCTATTCTCAAAAAGGATCAGTGAGTACATGCATTATGAAACAAAACCAGTTTCTGATTATAATTTCTATTATGCCAAATAGTGTGAAGCAGCATTTGCTGTGCCCACAACAAATGATCACTGATACCAGAAAGGCAGCAAAGTGACCAAAGTGAGTATGCAGTATAAGAAATGTCTTGACTTACAGTTAGGCCGGGATCTCCAGGAGGACCAGGGTCACCCTAGAATAGAAGGTGATGGAAGCATTCATCAAATGGAAATCCACCTTTCTGAAATTTCAGGATGTAAGAAAAGTAATAGATCCACTTGCAATATATTTTTAATATTCACTAGCTTTTGGAAATATAAGTGTTGCTTTAAATCAGAGGTAGAATTAAAGTAGGAGAGCATAGAAAATGTGTCATGGCATGTATAGTAATGTGTCATTCAGAGACTTAACAATGATTGTGAATGATGTCACAGTTTGCTGATTGATTACTTAGGAAAATGTTTATCTGTTTTGAACATGAACATGTGGTTTAAGCATAAATCTATTTCTATGTATGGATAGATTTGTGTACAGATAGATTTAAAAGTCTCACTGATTTGATTATTTATTATACAAAGGCCTGAATGAGAGACAGTATGAGAGTAATGAGATGGTTCTGATTGAGGGACTGAAGGCGTTTTGGTAGAGCCAAAAAATGGTTCTTGGGAATAAATTACATACAAATAGGAACAGAATAAACAAAATATGACAGAATGACAGAGTGCTTCTAATGCAACCATTATGTTCAAAGGACAAGGAAATTGAGGGGGGGGGGTCAGCATACAACTTGCTCTCCTTGAAATCCTGAGGTAAGCACTAAATTAAAGGGGAAAGCACTCCTCCACCCGGCCTGCTTTTTTACAGTCTACAGAGAGTAATGGGTGCTACTTGCGGTGCTGGCAGCACCATTACCAACCTTTCTGCAGACATGAGATAAGTGGGCTGCTGTCAGACCTTAGAAAGTGACAGACTTTCTTCTCATCTTAGGGACAAAATCCTGTTACTGGGGGTATCAAGGTAGTCACTTCTTTTGCCTCCTGCTTCTCTGGTTTGGGATTGCTCAAATGCCTCACCCCACGGGAAGGGAGCCATGCAATAATGTCCAACTGGATACACAACTATAATACCTCAGGTCCAGGTTCACCACTTGGTCCCCTGGATCCAGGTGGACCTGAAAGGCCGACTCCTCCCTAGAGAGACAGAGGAATACAGTTAAAGGCAGTGAGTGAAGAAGGTTTTACTGAAGAGCACATAAAATGAATGACAGCTCTTTGGAGACAGATAATTGTTTCAAAGAGGATTTAAAGGGGGTGTATAACTCTCTGGGTATATAGTTATTTTTTTCTGTCTGCCCTCTTTCCTTCTCCCCCCCTCTCTCACACACACATCATTTGCAGTGTTTTTTAAAAAACCTATAAGATCATTTCAGCCAGAAGCAGAAATGGTACCAAGAGGGAAACAGTTCCTAATCAGTACAACATTTAAATTAAGTTTTTGAAGTTCTACCGATAATTCATTAAAGAATCCTGAGAAAATTCAACAGGTTTCAGATACGATTACCACTGTGGGAAACATATATGGTACCCCAGTAAACTTTGCATCTGTATTTTAACCACAGGCCTGAGAAACCTGGAATTACAAGCTCTCTGATGTTTAAATCTCCTTGTCATGTATATGATATACGTATTATCTATATACAATACAATACAATAATTATAACTGTGTATATTCAATTATATATGAGATATAAGGGATGTTCTAATTCTTAAGATTACATGGGCAACATTATAATTCAAAGCCTACGAAAGAAGCTGTAAGTTTATAAAAGATATGAGTTTACTATTATAAAATATCAGCTTATCATTAGCTAAATTCATGTTAAGCCAAAGAGCAGTGGAAGAGCACACAGGATATGTTTTTTTAAAAAAACAGAATATTAAATTAGCCTTCAAATGGTTAAAGTTCTTAAACAGAGAAGTTAGAGAATGTAAGATCAAGAGTCTACTTACATCATCACCTGGGTCTCCTTTTTTCCCTCTAAGTCCTTTTGGTCCAGGGTCACCTCTTGCACCCTGTCTCAAACATGGTATAAAGAAGAGATTGTTTTGTATTTTCCTCTACAACTCACTATTTTCTTCCCAATACATCATTTTCCTCTATTATTCCTTCAGAAAGAGGGTTTTGCCTGAATCAGTTAAGGGCTTAAACTAAACAGAAATAAAAAGAAGTTTATGAGAAGAACATCTCAGCAGGAGGTGATTTCTGAAAGGTGAATCCCACAGCTCTTAAAGTTGCTGGACTGAGAAATACTGGTATTAATCTTGTGGCTTGTTTTGGCATCCTACTGGAAACTCAAGAGACCCCAGAACAATTCCACTATGGATGCCACCTATACCTTCCTCCTGCCAGTTCTCAAAGCTGCTTCCGGGATCAATTCCTCAACAAGTGAAGGAAAATAACATGACATCACCTAATGTCCAATTTATTAGCAAAAGCAAGTACATAAGTATACGATACCTCTGGGCCTGGCTGACCCTTTTCACCTTTGTCACCCTAGAAAGAGAGAAAAGTGTCCCAGTTTTCATTTTGTCTTGCCATAGATTTGTTCAAATATAAGAAAGTATAACATAAAATTTCATATGGTGATCAATAAATTAATTAGATTAGTTAACAGACAAACATAATTTTTGGAGGGCCAAGGGAATCAAGCAATTTCCCGTGGTTTCAACAAAGAATGAAAATAGTGAAATATCTGATGAACAACATTTTAAAAAACTGAATCTATCACAACACATTGAATCACAGTAATCATTGAATAAGACACAATTGGCTTGGTTCACATAACATACAATGTACCTATTATGGGTAAGTATGGTATGTCAGTCAGAGGTGGTATTCAGCAGGTTCTGACCAGTTCTGGAGAACCAGTAGCAGAAATTTTGAGTAGTTCGGAGAACCAGCAAATACCACCTCTGACTGGACATTTTACAGTATCCTTCCCCTGCCACGCCCACCAAGCCACACCCACAGAACCGGTAGTAAAAAATTTTGAATCCCATCACTGCTGTCAGTGTTTTCTCCGTCAATGGACATTGAATTGAACGCACATGGCTTAAACGTTCAAAAATATATTCTTTACCTCACAATAACAGTTTAAGATGTACAGTATGCTAGTTGTATATAAAACATTTTCTTATTATATTAAGTATTAACCTTTTCACAATTTTTTAATGGATCTGCATTTAAAATAACCTGTTGCAAAGATAATTCCTTCATCTATTTGTAAAGAAAATTTTTTGTAATACTGCTTAGTTAGAAATTAATTTTTGGTGTATGTTTTTAACCAATGCTTTGCTTTATTTTTCACCTCATTTCCTTTATTTGTCCTTGATGTGAGCAAAAGAGATTGGAAGAGGAGATTCATTTCTTTAGAAAATATTGGGAGGCAGCGGTGTGTGTGTGTGTGCTTATTTTAGTAAACGTTAAAAGAAGGATAAGGGCTCTCTTGTGTTTTTATCTTTCATAATAAAAATGCACACAAGGACATTGTTTTTACAGCTTTAAATTTGGCAGCATTTCCTGAAACTGACAGACAACCACACTCCTGCATGTTTGCAGGATCATTCTAAGAAATTCAAAAAAGAAGGATGTGAATATAAATTACTCTCCCTTCTCAGAGAAAGAGAGAGAGAGATTTTTGGTTTCTAAACCAACCAGGAAACTGCTGTTCTTGAATGGATTAAAAATATAAGTAGATGAATAAAAGACAGAAAGAAGAGACTTTCTCACGGATTGTTCCACAAATGAACTTTTCTAATGGTACTTCTGCTTTGTTCTGAGAAGCCTTTTCATATTAGGAATTAATATAAATATGCCACACCATGAAAACATACCCGAGATCCCCTGGGACCAGGAACACTTAAGCCAGGTCTTCCCCTATCACCCTATGATTAAAACAAGAAAATAAACACACAATTCAAACATATCATATATAAGACTCCAGAAGTTTGCTTCTTGCTAATCTGTATGACAATTAGCTCTTATTAGCTTAGCTCTTATTATTTATATATTACAATTATTTGTATACCACAAACTCTAATGACTTTGGACAGCTTACACTACACAGATTTAATCATATTGCAACATCCATAAAATCACCAATTCCATCAAATTTACTCCAAGCTTTCTTTTATAATCTGAAAGGAAGTTAGTACCAAATTTTTTTATAGATGGCATACAACTCCATCAATAATCACCACGATAAAGAAAACATACAATAATAGACAATTGAAACGCCCGGAAACAGAAGGAAAAAATTACCAAAAGTGGCAGACACACATAAAAAAAAAATCAAAAGTACTGGAAAGATATACATGGTACAATGCAGAAAACTTAATTCAAAATGAAACCACAACTTTCATGCTAGGCATAATCTCAAAAAACCTCAATAAGAAATGTAAAATCTAACCAACTTTATGTTTATCACATTAATATTTTAGAAATCATAGTTAATATTGATAGAAACTTTTTACAACTTAAAAGTCTGTTCATGACCGCCATTAAAAATAATTGGCTGAGCTTTTTTCTCTCTCTGTGTGTGTGTATGTGTGTGTGTGTGCGCACGTGTGTGGGTTAGCATATGCCTTTAAGTCAGCACTAACTCCTGACAACTGCCTGGACAAGTCCCTGCAGGTTTCTTGGCAAGGTTTTTTGGAAGTGGTTTGCTATTGCCATTGGCTCCTTCTTCCTAGGCTTCTCATTCCAAAGGCTAGGAGAAAGTGATTGCCCCAAACCACTCAGATGACTTCACACCTAAGACAGGACTAGAATTCACAGTCTCCTGGTTCTACCTTCAATCATTATATCAAACTGACTTTCCTTTTAAGCTTAATAGGCCTTTAATGAGTAAGCAGTATAGAATAACCCAATTCAGCTGGCAAGAAACACTGACAGAAAGATAATGAACAACTTATGAAAAATGCTATGAATCTGAATTTTCAAGAAAGACATGGAGAATGACAAAAAAAAAATCTCCTCTGTCTTGACCATAGTCTTAAAACAAGGCTGTCTTAGCTGATTAAATCAAGTTAATATTATAAAACAAACCAGAGCAAACCTAAGTCCGTTCCTGGTAGCTATAGGCCTTACCTTGGGTCCTTTAGGCCCCATGTCGCCCCTTTCACCTTCTCTCCCCGGATTTCCAGCTGAGCCCTGCAAACAGGAAGTGGGGAGTAAACAAAGAGATGGAATAGAGAAATGAATGATCAGGTGTAGTAGCAACATCCTCTCCTCCACTTACAAGGGGTTCTCTGTATTACCTTTTTTCAAAATATAGCCAATCATGTTTTTCCTTCCATCTGCTCTCTGCCAATCCATGACAGGCAATAGTATTGAAATGCAGCCACTCTTGATTTTCAGGCACTGCTTCTTTATTCATTTAGAGACTGTAGTTTAGTATACTGTAGTGTCAAATCCCATTCTAAAATCCCTGGTCTAACCATTGAACTTTTCTCATTTTTTTTCAATCTCTTGCTATTTGCATCACTTTTTCTAATAAAGAACTGCATTCCTTATTATAATATTATGTCATAATTAAAAATTATAATCAAATTATACTCAAATCCTAAGAGAGAAATGCACATTAACAAAAATTAATAAACACTTTCCCCCAAATTTGAAATGCAGATGCAACACATCATTTGAAGTGCTATTACTGTTTATTCTCTTGGGTTATTATGGACAATTCTAGTAAATAACAAAAGAAGACAAGATTTTGGATCAAACAGGGAAAACTGGACAAGTGAAATCTATAGCAAGAAGCAAAGAACAAGTGTTTTAATCTTGACTAAAATGGTTTGCATGGGGAAGAAAATGTATTAGTTTCTTATTTTGCTGCCTCTTGGAAAGCAACAACGTCATAGGGAGTAACTTAATTGCTGTCTCCTGTAAATGTGCTTAGATAAACTTACGGGGCTGCCCTTATCTCCCACAGGGCCTGGTGCACCACGCTGGCCTGATGGTCCTGGATCTCCCTGTGAAACAAAATGTGAAATGAACAGTCAGAGCTAGCCCCCACTTCAGATACTGTAGAAATATAGAGGATTACATAGAGAGTAAGGCCATCCTAAGTCATAGCATGAGAAAATGAGTCTATTTATTGTATTATATATTGCTGTGGTTTGCTGGCAGCCTGTGCAGAGGGCAATGAAATCAGACAGTGGGAAAGAAAGGAGATCAGTCCGGGAGTCTGGAGAGGACTCGGATGAGGGTCCTGCGTCCGATGCAGAGATGGGGCCAGGACCATCTGGGAGTAGGGTGCTGCCTCCGGAGCCTTCAGAGTCTGGCAGCAGCGAGGCAGAGGACCCAGGGGAGCCTGTTCCCAATGCGCATGTGTGCAGAGCTGCTAGAAGGCAAGAGCAGCTGAAACAAAAGGGGTGACTCGGAAGTAAGGCTGGGAGGCGATTGCCCCTCCCATAAGGTATAAAGGACAGGCAAAGATGACGAAACCTTTGCAGGAAGCAAAGTCATTCGTTCGGTTAAGACTCATTCTTGAAGCTCTTTGTACTTCAGTTGGTTTTTGTTCTAGTTTATTTGATACTTCTGTTATTGGTAGCACTTCACAGGAACAAAAGGTGGGTGCTTATCTCAAGGGACTGTTTGAGATTCATTACTGACTGGGAATGAAAATAATTCCCAGCATTGCAATAAAACAAGACTTGTTTTTAAAATAAGCGTGTGCGTAATTATGTTCTCAGAAGCCTTGGTCAGAACATATATAAGCACTCCTTACAACCACAATGGAGTCCCAAATTTCTGTTACTAAGCAAATGAGTTGTGCTCCAGTTTACAACCTTTTTTTTGCCACAGTGAACGTGAAGCGAATCACTGCAATTAAGTGACTCATATGGTTGTTAAGTGAATCTGGTTTTCTCCATTGACTTTAAATGTTGGAAACCAGTTGAGAAGGTTACAAATAGTAATTGCATGAACCCGGGACAGCGCAACTGTCATAAATACATGCCAGGTGTCAAGTGCTCGAATTTTGATCACGTGACCATGGGAACGCTATCATGATCGTAAGTTGAAGACTGATCATAATTTACTTTTTTCAGTACTGCTGTAACTTTGAATGGTCACTAAATGAATGGTTCTAAGTCAAGGACTACCTATATTAGAATATCACAGAAACATTTTGCTTATATGTTGTCAATCTTGTTTTAGCCATAACTGATTTCACAGATTTATGCCTACCAAGCCTGAACTCATTCGAAAAAGCAACTGACAGTCAATCCCTATAAAATTAATTTAATGATTATTGCAAAACAGGAAAACAAAACATTTATTGTTCATCAGAATTCAATTTTCCTGCTGTATTATATTTCAAACTTTGAGTTGCACCAGAGACTTAGAAACTCATGCTGCAGAAATGGCCAAAAAAATTTTTCATTGCAAAAACGAATAAGGGGGAACAATTTCTATTAGATAACTTTGCAGTCTTTAGACTATATTTTCTTAAATGCACACTATGAAAGATGTTTTAACAGCTATCAAAGACTATCAGGACACTTCTTGATTATGAGGTTCCTTAATCACATGGAATGTATACATCACAATGACGTATATCATTTCTTTTAACTGTGTTAAAAGATTGTTTCTTTTAAAGTTCACTCTTTAACTGTTAGCTACTTAAGAGTCATGGGAGCCTCAAAATTGAAATATTAAACATTAATATTAACCCAGTTGGAAAGGAGACCCAATCTCAGAAAGTTGTATGAACAAAGAGACAAGACTTTGGGGGTGGAAGTGAAGAATCTATAGAGGACAATTTTTAGAACACAAGTTATCCAGACAATTAAAAATTAAAAATTATTACATCTATTTAAGGTACCTGGAACCTGAATTTTAAAGACTAATACTATTCCTAAAAAAGATTTTAAGCTGCGAAAGAGAAAGGGAAAGGAAACGGAATTGGCTTTTTTCCTCTAACATTGACAGTTTTAACTGACCAGGAACATTAAGAAGAAGAGATTCGAATAAGAAATTGATACTAATCCACTTTGACATTGATAGGCTATTTCTAGCTGAAAATAAAGTGTCAAAGGGATAAAGATTCTTGGATAATTTAAAAACTTTCTTTAAAAAAAGAAAGAAAGCAGCGGAGGGAAACAGGAAAAAAGAGGGTGGAATCTGGAAAATGGAGGAGACCACCTGGAATTTTAAAAAAAATTGATAGTGGAATTTTAACAAGGCTTGTAAAAGATACATTGTAGCTAAAACTTTGTTACAAGATAACAAAGCCTCTGGAAAGAGAAAGTGAGAAAAGAAGCAAGAAACAGTTTTGGATTATTGGATGATTCCTGGAACTTTGGATGGAGGATCCTAATGAAATAAAATAAAATCAATTGGGGGTTGTTTAAATTTTTTTAAAATGGCATCACTCCTTGAAGAGTTAAAAGTGAGACTTAAAGAACAAAAAGAAGAAGCACAAGACAGAAGAGGTTCTTTTGGCTTCGTATTTCAATTTTTAGAAATGGAGATCTTGAACTATGAAAAACAACAAGAAACGCTGGCAGAACAAGAAGGACGGGACAACGAAGAAGCCATCTTTAATGACCAAGCAATTTTAAGCGGGGTAAAAAAGGGAAAGGGGGGGGAAAGGGAGTTAAAAACTTAAGCACTGAAGCAACAACCAAAAAAGAGAGTCATTTGAAAAGTAATCATGATATCAGGAAGAAGCAGAAGGGAGGATCACAGAAGGGAGAATCAGACAGAAAAGGGAATAAAAAGAGGAGGGAGAAGAAGAGAGGGAAGAGGGAAAGGAAAAGAAGCTACAAAAGACAGAAACAAGATGTAGAGGTACAGGAAAAACGTACAAGAATTAAAGGTATAAACCTATTTAAAAGACACAGAGACAATGGTTAAAAGAGAGGATTCTGCAAGGGTGCATGGGATAGCATTGTTATATAATATGTTAGATGATTAAAGTGATAGAAAAAATTTCTCTTGATGTGTAGTGGAATATTTGTTTGTAAAGAGAATAAGGCTCACAATGATTTAAAAATAACGTTTAAAAAAAACTGAAAAGAAACATGGAAGATTTTTATCAGTTGAAAAGATGAACTTGAATAAGAATAATAACTTTATTGACTACTGTTAATAACTATTGTTTGGTTTTTTTTTATTTAAAGGCAGTAATAAGTAAAATATGAAATATAGATGATTAAAGTGAAAGACAACTGATATTATTAGGTAATGTTTGTTAAAAGAAAAAGAAATGTAAAAGATTGTTATTAATATTAATGGTAGAGCTGTACTTGAATAGAATAATTATTCCATTTACTATTGTTATACATATATACACAGATATATATACATATATACGTTTTTCTTTTAAGAATTTAGTGTGTATTTTAAGGGAATGTGCCAAGTAGAATTTGATTGAAAATAGGTATGTGTTATAAAATAGAGGTTAGAAAATGAATGTTATAACTGTAAAGGTGTAACTTAAATTTTTCAATAAGATTTGAAAAAAGATACAAAGGTGTTACACTCCAGTCTAGTAATTACAGGGAAAATTTGTTTTATGAGAAAAGATAACATGAAATTGTAAACAGGACAGATGAAAGTATAAAAACATTGATTAGAAAGATTTTAAAAATTAGAAAAAGATATGTAATTGAATTAAGAAAGGAATGAGATAATTTAAAATAAGGCTATAGGAAGTAAAAAAAAGGGAAAAGCTATTGAAAAAATTGCGAAAATAGTTATAAGATATAGATTAGACTGTATAAGATGAATATGTATTGAGTTTATGTCTGTATGGAGAAGTGATAACCCGGGGCCACGCTGTTCTCAAAAAAAGATATTTTATTTGTATTTGTATGTTTTGTGAAAACTTAAATAAAGCTTTTATTAAAAAAAATATTAAAAGTTATTAAGACACTTTTTAGAGGGCAAAAGTTATTCAGAGAAAACTCCAGATTCCTGTTTCCCATCATCTCTATTAAGTAGTATAATTAATAGTGGATAGCTGTGACTGAACTTCTTGTTCCCCTCCCCTACCATCTTTCTTTTCTTCTGTCAGGAATTGAGCATCAAAGTTGTTTAAATTTAACATAATAAAGTGCCATTTTACCAGGATATTTTAGCAGGCTCACAAATTCTAGCAGTATATGTAAACCGATAACATGTAAATATCCATAATAATAGGGAAACATTTTTCAATCTACTTTTCAAGTAATGGCTAGAGAAGTCTAAATGGGGGAGGCATTGATTAATATTCTTTCATACATTTCTTCCTTTCTCTCCAACTTCTCCTGGTAGACCCCTTTGTCCCTCAAAACCAGGATCTCCCTGTGAATAAAGAAATAATTCATATTAGTTATTGCTTTCAACTCTATTATAGCTTACTATGCCTAATAACTGGATGTATGAGAGAAAACTCCAGCAAGACATCCATCCATCCATAAATTTAACATTAAAACCATGATTTAAGGTAAACATTGGGGACCTGAATTAATATTTATTTATTTTATTTATTTTGTCAAGCATGTATTAGATAACAGATACAAGTATAAACATGATTATGAATACATAAAATAAGAAATACTTTCTTATTGATCTCTAAATTTGTTTATTGTCCTGTTTATTGCAACAGGTAAACATAACTAAAAGTAGCAATAGCAATAGTACTTAGACTTATATACTGCTTCATAGTGCTTTACAGCCCTCTTTAAATGGTTTACAGAGTTAGAATATTGCCCCAACAATCTGGATCCTCATTTTACCAAGGCTGAGTCAACTTTGAGCCGGTGAGACTCGAACTGCTGAACTGCTGGCAGCCGGCAGGCAGCAAAAGTAGCCTGCAATACTGCATTCTAACCACTGCACCACTGCACTCTTAAAAATAAAGTCAAAAGCCTAAAAAGGGTTTACAGACATTTGAGTCAATGGATAGTTAATATCTATTACTTAATACTTAAATCTTTCAGAAGCTATAACGGGCCGTGTTAAACATAGTGGACATGGCCAAGTATAAAATGCTACTTTGCCAGAAGGAAAGCGATGCTGCCTCTTTATCTTGTCCCCTTTTGGCTTCTCCTTATCTATCCTTCTCAGCTTGTTTTGCAGACTAGCTGCCACCATACTCCATTCTTATTTTCAAAGAATGCTCATGGAACTCAGATAATTCTGAAGGCTGGAGCTTTGCTTTGCAGAACGTCACTTTCCCAATATTATTTTGTTAAACTTTAAAAGTCAAATCAGGCAGGCAGATGCCAAAAAATACACTGGTAAACTGATTGAAGTTTATAAGAACTCCAGCTAAGAAATAAAATTCACCAACGTGTCCTGAAAAATTAATAAAGGCAAAAGAACATCATTAGTAACAGCTCCCTTTATTTTCCCGGAAGGACTGGGAATCAAGCAAGTCTTTTTAGGAAGCAAGTAAAAACTTTTCTCAGACAACCTTTGGTTCTTTTTTATAGCTTATTCATTTCCACTAGAAATCTACATGTATCGTTCCCTTTCCCAAGAGATTTTTATAAGCACTAGCGTTGAAAAGGTTTATATCTATTGTTTTGGATACTTGGTGAACGTACTTTTTCCCCCTTGGATCCTTGATTTCCAGGTTTTCCTATGTCTCCAGGATCACCACGACGACCCTGAGCAAAACAGAGTAAAATTATTATTTTTAAATCAAACTCCTAATGTAGATTACTTCACTGAAATGCTAAACAGCTGCACAAACAGTACCCAGACATGAAGATACTATCAGGAAAGGAAAGCCAAATAAAAATATTTGATTATCAGTGAACTAGAGCAAAATTCAGACCAGAGCAACCTTTCAAAATTAAGACTTCTGCACTTAATATAGCTTTTGGTGGATCTGTTCTCAAAGAGGAAAAAGACAATGTATTTATTTTAAAATTAAAACAATTCTCATTTGTTTTTGTTTTCTGTGCATTTCATCCACTAATATGTGCCAAGAGGAGACATTTTATTAAAATTTAAATATTAAGGCAGAAAATTAAGGATCAAACACTATAGTACATTTTTACATTTGAATGTCATAAAAAGAAAGAAATTGGAAGCTCCAAATCTTCATACAATGATTGATACAGTGAATTGTTTCACAAGGTTTATATAAGGAAAATCTGGCACCTGCATCTAGATACTGCATGCAGCTCTGAAGTACCACCCTTCTGGGTGTCTTTTAAGACTAGTAATGCAGCCTGCTTTTGAAAAGCATTAAAAAAAGCAAAGCTAGAAAGCATCAATGGTCTTACAGCTTCTCCTTTTGGTCCCCCAAGTCCTTTCTCGCCTGGACTTCCCTTGAGACCAGGAAGACCAGGTTCTCCTTTGTATCCTTTTGGTCCCTTTAAAAATAAAAGAAAAACAACAGGAACAAAACCTGTTAGACAAGGCTTTTGGACAACAAAAGGTAGTATTCCAGAGGATTATCTGACTTGATCCCACTGAATCACACTTTCAAACGTTAGATTTTTGCAAATTTGTTTCCTGTCTCTTGTAATACAAATCATTAATTAATTATCATCAGGGTGGAAGGGCCAAGTTTTAAGGAGTCTATCTAGATTTCTTTAGCCAGTTTTTTTTTTTAATTGTTTTTGGTCCTGCTAAATATAGCTCTGAAAATAGTGGATTGGAAGAAAAAGTCTCTCCAAGAAAAGCATTACTGGAAAAACGCTTACCTTCAGACCATCTGCCTACAGATAGTTTCAAGCACAACATTAGAGAGTTCAATCAATAGCATGGATCAGGGGTCTCCAACCTTGGCAACTTTAAGCTTGGAGGACTTCAACACCCAGAATTCCCCAGCCAGATTTGGGAGTTGAAGTCCTCCGGGCTTAAAGTTGCCAAGATTGGAGACCCCTGGCATGAATTGTGAAATTTGTACGGAAGGGAGTGCAACTGTTGGATTTTGCAGTTTGGAAACACATACTCTCTTAGGTACTTTATTTTAATCATACTTCCAATAAGCAGTTGTCCCCAAATGTAAATGTAAATGAATGCCCCCCCATTAACATTTACTTCGTTTGCTAGAGGAGTTTAGTTTATGTTTAGCTCAGTCTAACCAAGGTTCCTATTTTCCTAACTTTTTACAGTTGCTATAAAAGGAACATAGATAGATATATCATATCTGCATTTTCAAATCATGTTTCTGATGCACTACAGTCAGCGTGTGGCTCTGAAGTTCAAAGAATTTAATTATTTCAGAAAAGTCACAAAGTTATACATACAGAACTTCCGAGTTCTCCATCGGGACCAGGTGGGCCATGTTTGCCAGGCCGGCCAGGATCTCCCTGAAACAAGATGTAGTAAACAATGCATGTAAGTTACAATTTAATTATAGTTGTCACAGTTACAGTTGTTACCATTATAGTTGTCTTATTTACATATGCATGCATGTATACACATATTACTGGAATCAGAATGAAATTTGTCCCAATCAAACTATGTTGTGGTCACGCCCAGCAGAAGGATGTATGGTGGAAGCTGAGAAGGAAATTGAAAGTGTGGAGAGAAGGTGAGTTGAGTCAAAAATTAGATGAAAGAGAAGAGAACGAGTGGAGCAGAAGGGACTAGCATGGGACAAACCAGATTCAGAGGTCTAAGTGCAGGCAAAGGAGCACCAGCTGGGAAGAGATGGTGAGGAAAGGGGCAAATGGCAAGGAAGAAATGATTGGAACCCGGACCAGCAGCCAGTGAAACCCAGCAGTAAAAGAGATGCTCCAACAAGAGTTGGTCAGAAGCAAGCGAAGATGTAATAAGTAACTCCTACCTAAAGTTGACACAGTAAAGGCTAATCCATCTAGCCTGGTCTGAGAAAGGTGGCTGGCTGGAGCAGTGGTGTACTTTGAAGGGGGCAAAACTGTCTCTAAAAACTAGGCTGAAAGGGGAGGAAACTGTCCTCTCAAATAGACAAGGACTGTAAAAGTTAGTGGAACTATATTCACCAAAAGGTGAAGGAGGTGCGGCAAAGGCAGTGTTATTCTCACTGCTGATACATGTCTCAGAAGAAGGTCTCCCAGGTAGATCTATTTATCCCAGAAGTCAGAGATTAGGGGGGGGTGTGTGTGGGGGTGGAAACTGTTAAACTTTACTTTTAAGCTACAAAAGAGAGAGAACAAAAAGAAGAATTTGCAATGGATCAGAATAATTTCTTGTATAGGGAGTCCAAATTTTACCAGCCAATGCAATTTTTCTCCAAGTCACAATCTATGGCCTGGGACATCCATGAGAAAGTTAGCAATTAGCAACAGAGGAACATAGAGATAGAAGACTACAGAGATAAGAAAAAATAGAGCAGGATTAGACATACGCATAAGTATAGAAACAAAATAGGTAATACGATTCCACATTCAGATACAGGAAAACTTAATTTTGTGCCATAAAACATTCCCCGATAGGAAAAAAAATCAACCAAACTTTGTGCCCTGGCTCATGCCACCCGCAAAGAACTAATCAGAGAAGCCTGCTTGATTTCTCTTGCCCGTTTTCTAAGCATCCAGAATTACTGAGAAGCATCTAAAGCAGCTTTTCTCAATTTCCAGCCATGCAGACTTTAAATTAGTCCCTCCTTAAAACAAGCTGCATCCCATTCTGATAGTGATGGAAGAGCTAGAAATAAATGACTCATTTTAAATGTAATTTAACAGCAGTGCATTGAGGCAGAGGAATGCATTGTGCTTTCCTCCTTTTAAATCATCCCTCACTATCAGGCCTGCCAACTTCAGCATAGCCTGCTTTTCGGGCATCCCACCATAAAATGTACATGCGGGGATGGGTGAGGAGGAGATCAGGGAAGTAGGGAGTAGGAAGGGGGAGAATGACATGGTTACAAGAACCAGAGGTGTCAATCCAGATTGAACTGGCTGATCAAAGATGGAGCATGAGATCGGAATGCAAAACTCCACCGAAGAGCAACCAAACCTCAAAGCCATTCCCAAAGCATCTATAGCAAATACTACTGGACACTGATGGTTGGTCAAGGGGGGTGGGCCAGGGAAGTGGGAAAATCGCAGGCTTTGGGCAGGAACATTCAGATCCAGCTTTGCTTGCACTGTAACTGCTTGACTTCAACCATGGAGTTGAGGGTCTTTCTTACCTAAATGCTCAAGTTGGGACAAGCCTAACATAATTTAAGCTGGATTTGAATTCCCAATTAAACAGTTCACCTGTGGGAAAAAATTAGCAACTGGGAAATGGAAAGAGACATGCAAGAAAAACGTTCTCTAAATGGCTCTTAGCTGTCTTCCTACTGACAACAGCATTTTCCTTACCTTACTTTTCAGAATTTCCAGCTCCCTTTTCAAATTGAAACTCATCATAAGACTTGTTTTATTATAAAGGTAAAATCAACTGAACACAGCAAACCTGCAGTTACTTTGTGATGCTGCAGAGAAGCTGCCTATCTCCTCACCAGGCTTGCCCTCTGAAGGTGCTCTGCAGTCGAAGAAAAGAGCAGAGCTCCTTGAAGAGGCTGCAAATGGACCACTGATATTCCCACACTCCGAGAAGCACCTTTTGGAGGTCCATTCCAAATCTCAGCAGAGCCCTAGGATTCCCTGAGTGAAGAGCAACTTCCTTTTGTTTTCTTACTTTGTAACCCAAAGTTCTAAAAATCTTTTTTTCAAAACAAATCTCTACCATGTTCCTTTCCTTTTACTATCCTTTTTCTAAACGAAATATCTTGAGAAACTGTCTCAGTTTCTCAACTGAGAAATCAGCCAGATTAATGCACTGCTTTTGTTTGAATTTACTCTTCCTGACCATGTCATGCTGCCTTTAGTTTCCGCCAGTATGGAATGGTACAGACCTTTATCCCTTCCTCTCCCGGTGACCCTTTAGCACCAGGGCCTCCTGGGTAGCCATCAGGACCCTAAAACAAAAAGTGGGGACACGGGAGGATTTAGTTAGAAGCCATTTTCATTTAGAAAAGTAGAATGTAAATAATAGGAAAGTATTCTGTGACTGTAGACATCATAGTATAATAATATATTATATAATAATATAAGATTTCACATGAGGTGTGAAAACACCTCATGATATCCATCCTGATGCTTATTTTTTTCCCTTGCTTTAAGTAGATGGCATTTTAGAAATGCACCTGAGAGAATTCAGGTAAGATCTAAGTGGAATTATTTGGTGGCAGTATAATAGGGGAAAAAAAGTAAAAAGACTCTGCATATTCGGAGGTAGATTTCACCCTTCTCAGAACTTTATATGGTACAAATCTGAATGCTGAGGACGGAATCCAGTAAAGTAGTAAACATGATGGCTTTGCTTACATATCAGTTCTGCCAACAACCAAAATTATGTTAAACTTTTTACTTTCCAAAGTGAAGCTAGTTCCCGTGTCTTTTGTACAAAAGGTGTGTGAAAGTTTCATACGTTTTATGAACTTTAATGAAGTTCACAGCTTCTGTTCAGCATAATGGTGTAATTCACATTCTGAACTTTAAAAAAATATGCTGAGAACTGGACACACTAATAATAGATCATTATTCTAGAGTAGAAATTGAAAGGATGGTAAAATTTGTAAACTATTTGTGAGCAGAACAGATTTAAGATCCAGCAATTGCTAATACTGCCTACCATTCTGGCATTAGTCACATGCCACAGGTGTCGATATGTAATACTTATTGTTGTGTTGTTTTTACTGTACTTATAATCTGCATCCTCCTAAACATGTCCCAGTCAGCTAATGCTAAAGCAAAAGGTAGAAACATATTATCAAATCATGTAAAAACCAAGTAAATGTACACATTGCCTGTAAAAAGGGAAGACAGGTTGCATCCCACCCATTGATACATACTTGAATTTGCACTGCTATGGTACAAGCAGTTTGACTAATGTGACTGAGTGTGTTTTATAGAGGTGTGATTGTTGGTGGATGTTACAGTATTATGATTGAATGATTACAGGCAACTGAAAAGAACCATAAGCTAACTATATATCCATGGTGCATTAAACATTACTGAATCATTTTTCCCTAAAGGATTTTTCCCCTTTCTACTATTAATTCATTGATTAATTTGTTTGCACATTCTGAAAGTGCTCTTTCAGAACACTCTGTATCACTGTACTTTATTATTCACCTTGAAGATCTGTACAAAATTTGTAAATAAATGTCACCTTCTTGTTTCAGTTTTTCATTTGTTTTTATTGACAAACAAACCAATGCCATTTATTTATTTTCAACGTCTGTTTTTCTTTAAAAAAAAACACCTAATATTTTTAAATCATCCATGAAATTCCCAAGTCATGTTGAGTATAATAATCTCCTTTGCATACATTTTATAAGAATATGAAAAAAAGAGTTGACACTGTAGAGAAAGCACTCCTACCCTTTCGCCTGGGTCACCCTTACAGCCAGGAGGTCCAATCCGCCCCATCCTGCCCTGAAAGCATTAGATATGAAAGGAGAGATTGTGAGCAATGTTAAACAGGGGTTGAGGTGGAAAACCCACAAAGGTACTTAAATTTCTTCTTCAGCACCCTCCACCAGCAGTTCGGGACCTCTTTATTGAAGGAACTGGAGAGAGATTGAACCAAGAGGACTGAGCTGCATTTCAGAATGAATAAAATAGAATCACAGGCCTGGAAAGGGGCCTTTCAGGCCTTGTAGTTCAACCCTCTGCCCATGGCAGGAGACCTTGTATCAGCATTTATATCTTTTTTTCATCCTCCCAGGAGTTACATAAGTGTAAAATATCTAGGTGAAATCTTAATTCATTTTAAGAAGGTTTTTTTTTTAAGCCATTGTAATAAAAGTTGTCATTTTTCCACTGAATGTTAACAGCATTATCCTGGTAAGCTGCAAAAAGTAAGGCTGGGAAGTTGCCTGAGGCCTGTTTTCCATGAATTGCCTTACTTCGATTTAACAGTAGCAGCCAAGTGCCAAGAGAAGAGCAGTAACTCCAGTCTAAAAAAAGTTGTGGGTGATAAGGCGATAACTCATAGGGGCTCCACTAATTTTAGATGCATCTCAACTATTCAGGATCAATACACAAGATGGTGTGGACAAATTTTCAGACAGGTCAAATGACTTTTTCTGTAAATTAGTTATTTTTCTTCCAATTAAATTAAATGAAATGAGGATGTGGATATTAGAGTACTTCAAGAATGAGACAGAAGAACTTACCAACAAGCAATGAATATTCAGTTACAAAATGAACAGGAAAACTAATGATCTGCCTGGGCCATTTTCCTGTTTTAGATTGCCAATTAAAGCTTATATTTAGGGAGCTCATTCTCCTTTAAAAAGGCATTTCATCAATGTAAACAAAAGACTGACATTATAGTGCTAAAAACCAGACTACCTTCTGTCCATCAGTGCCATTTCTTCCAGAAGTACCACCAGCTCCCTGAAATCGAAGACCAAAAGCATTAGAGACAGCTTTTTCCATAAGACCAATAGTGAAATAATGTCTTATGTTCCTCTGTCAAACCTTACCTTTCGTCCATCTGCTCCAAACTCTCCCTACAAAGGATATAAGAAAACAAGATGAGTCAAGCCCTGCTTCCTTTAAAAAGAAGCCACAACAGCATGACAGCCAGTTAAGAAATCATCTGGGACAGAGTGAAATAATTCTGTGTCACTAAATATTACCCTAGAACGGGGGTTCCCAACCTGGGGTGCTCGACGATATTCCAGGGGGTGAGAGAAAAGTCCAGGTAAATAATAGGATATTGGCTATATGTTGGCATTTTTATTTATTATTTATTTCAGGGGGTGCGAGGTTCGAGTGAAATTTCTTTAGGGATGCGGGGCAAAAAAAAGGTTGGGAACCACTGCCCTAGAACAAATGACATGGAAGGTCTTCCCTACTCCTATACCCACTACCAGACTTCAGTTGCAATGTTCAGCCCCGTCTGGCCAATTGGGTTAAAAAAGAAATTATTTAGGGATAGAAGTTTTACCAAGGTGGCTCACAATAAGAAAGTCAGAAATGATATCATAAATAACCTCCCAGCAATTAGCCAGACAATATTAAAATCAAAATACAACTGCAGTTTAAGAGCATTTCAATAGAGCACAGGACCACTGCTTATTTGGTAGTGATCCGGACTGAACAGTGCTTCCAACACGGAAACTAAAAGTGCTTCAGGCATGTGGGGAAGGGGGGGATCCTCAAAGCACCTCTTTGCCACTCCTTCAGTAGCTTCCTCTTTTCCTAGGAGCTCCATAGCGCAAACCAGTAACAGCCCAACCCAGAAAAGGCTGCTTTGGGCTGAAAGAGTTATGCTAGAGAATATAGTTCTGCTTTCCAATCCAAAGCATTGCTCTGTCCTAGTGGCAGAGGTTCTCCTGCATCCCAGGAGCTTGTTTCAGCCCAACCCAGGATTGCAGGTTCTGCATAGGGGGAAGGCCTTTTGCCTTTATCCAGGGGTGGGCTTCAAAACCTTTAGCAAAGGGTTCTCTGTCTGGTTGCTGGGTGGGTGTGGCCATGGTGGGCGTGGCCTAGTCAGCCTCCTGCATCGTGAGGGGACGTTTTTGTCCTCCCCAGGCTCCGGAGGTTTTCCTCGAGCCACCGAGAGGGAGAAAATGGCCTCCCAGGCTCCGGTGGTCCGTTTTTCACCCTCCCAGAGCCTCCACACGGGCCCTGCACCTACCTGCATGCAAAACGGGCCACGTGGTGGCTCCTGGGAGGGGCGGGGTGGGGTAGGTGGGGTCAGCCAGGAGTGGAATTTGGGGGGGGGGTTCTCTGAACTGCACAGAACCCCTGTGAATCCCCAGCAGCCCACCCCTGCCTTTATCCCCAGGAAAGGTGACAGGGAACCCATTGCTCAGGGCTCTCCTTGAAATGCAGAATTATACTAAATGAAGCATTCCAATTATAAAGCACACTTCCCAAAATTTTCTGAATGTGTAAAACTGCCTTACCTTCTCTCCTTTTAGACCAGAAATACCCTGGAAAAGAAACAAAAAGTGCTTTCAGTTAGTGTTTGTGGCTATAGCATAGACTTAGTTCTGATATGCTACTCTGACTAGAGTGAATTGACTTAGATTTGTTAATTAGTTGATTTAAACAAATACATTTAAGTAAATGATTAGTTTGGAATTTATGCTCTCCCAACTTGCCTCAATCTATCTTCTCCTATGTCGTGTCCTCCTGCTTGGCCCCTGGCTTTGGCCCCTGGATTAGACTATACACTTAAGGCTGCTTCTGCAGGCTATCAGTTGCGGTGGAAGAGTCACGCTTTGCAAGCGATTCCCACCTGATTCTCACCAGGTTTTCACATTTCCATTTTTTGTTTCAGTGCTCAGAAAATCTCTTCTAATTTCTCTATTGAATTCACACAACGTTTCATTTTCTTTCTATCATCCAGTATTTCTCTCAGCTGGTGCTTTTGGGGACACAGTTCATGTCTTTCATCAATGTTATTGGGAAGGGAGTTCCACATCTGTTTCGTCGCAGTCTATAAAACCTAAGATGAACTAATTGTTCCCAATTCAGGAATTTTTAGATATTGAACAGGATAAAGGAATTGATATCTAATCAGCCCAACAATCATTTTCCCGAGTTAATTATCTGTCCTATTTTGATAATCAAAATAAATTTGCTTTCTGCAGCTTTAATGATTATTGGTTACTACCAAGATCTCTCTCTCTCTCCCTCTCCCCATCTTCCCCTATCCCTCTCCCTCTCATTCCCTCCTTCTCTCTCCTTCTCTCTGGAACTCTCTTATTCGGTCAAGTTCTAAGCACAAGAATGAATGCTTAAAAGTGAGACCCGAAATGATTTACCTTAGGCCCAGGGTGTCCAATTGGACCTTCAATTCCTGGATCACCCTATATGTAAAAAGAAAATGCCATTATTCCTTGACATAATCTGCATAATATGTTCATTTATCTTAGGCAGGCAAAATATGTATTACTTACATTAATTTGAACAAGGTAATAGTTGCGTTATGCAATATTATTAATTGCATTTTTGTAAAATATACAAAACTATTTTAAAAGAGTTGAAAGAATTGTATTATAGTTTTTATAGGCAGTGACGATTATATTTCTTTTGCCCTATCATTGCAGTCAACTACATCAAATGTTTTGTTTATTAGAGGTCAGTGTAGAATGAAAGCAAGCAGCATAAACGAACTATACAAACTGCTTTCACACATTGTAAAAAAGATATAGGCTTGGTTCTGATGTATTGTTAAGCTGTGCTGAAGTACATTAGCAAGTTGGAGAGTCAAATGTACACTTTTTCTTCATCTTCCCTATCCATTCACAAGTTCTGATTGCCAGAATTATCAACCAATGTATGATAAAGTGCGTGAGCCTGGGCAAAAGAAAGTCACTGAAAGTCACACCATGTTACAACATAATATCTGGGTCAAGCCTGTTCTTCATTCTGATCCTAACAGAAGGTAGATATGGATGGAAAGCTAATAAATGAGTGAAGGATGCACACACTTCTTTAGATTCCAGTTGCTTTCTACATGCACACATAATATATAAATAAAGACACACACATCTTCAGTATCAGTATTAACATTGCCCCATATAGGACAGGCATATTTTTGCATTGAGTGGAAATGGTCTGTTAGAGCACACAGACTATAGACATCGGTATAATAACGTGCCTGTTGAAGTGATTCTGGGAGGCTCACAAAATGATAAACAGAAAATATTAAAAAAATAAAATCAGCAAAGATTAAATAGAGACTAAAAGCCAAGAGGATGGATGACACAGGGTGAGGATCTTCTCTCTACTCCATCAGCCACTCTCAGCATAGAACATCCCCGGCAAGACCTTCAACAACAACGATATGAACCTTATTTAAAGTGCATATTTAGATATGGGGAATCCTAATCTGGAAAGTGCCCTCCCCAGCATGGCTAAAATGGGCTTTAATTCTTTGACCCCTAATGAGGATCTAATTTGTTTTTAGAAATCTGATGTATTCCACTTAAACTTCTATTAATAGAGAAAAAAAAAGCAGAGAGAGAATCTGTATCATGATTTAAAAGAAAAAATTAATTGGAAGCTTTTGATTTTCTTTATGAATAGGGATAAGAGCAGCGTGATAAATGAATGTACACAGATTATATAAATAAATAAATTCTCATTAAAGCAAGTTGAAAATCCTATGACCAAGATAATATACTGACTGAACCTTCTCAAAGGAATTCAGATACTGATTGAGTATCACAGGGTAATTTTAGAATTAAATGCCATCCTAAAACTGTTGTGTGAGTGAAAGTCTGATTCAATATGATCTTGTGTACTCCATGTTCAAAGAAACAGCAATTGTATAGCACTTATTAGAAGTCTCCCTTTTTTCAGTTACTTACTTGTCGTCCTTTTTGCCCAAAAATGCCTGGAATCCCCATGTTCCCTTTCGCACCCTAAAAGTAAAATAAATAAAATGATTAGTTCAGAGATTTCCTATTAAACAAAAAGTTGAATCAACTCCTATGTTCACACATCATTTCATGTGGCTTGTTGGCTCGGGCTTTTCATATTGTATCTTCAGAGACTATTCAATGCCATGCTTCTTGTTCAACCTACAAATCTGGAAGAAATCCTATCCAAATCCTTACGTTTGCAAAAATGTAAGAAGCTGAATTGCTTATATTCTATATACAGCAAATCTGTCCTCAAATACTAGAGAACTATGCAGCTGTAGAGGAAGCAGATTTATAGGGAATAAACTGCAATTCTCAGTTACACAACTATCTAAATTATGAATGTAAAAATCTGGTACAGTTTAAGAGCAAAAGTTGACTCATCAATTGAGGCATGAGTCTATCATACTTGGCTCAAGACTTTCATATAAAACTTACGGAACAGCATACAGTATATTACAGAAAGTTGTATATTAGAATAATGATTATTATACATATTTGTCTACTGATCCTCTTTCCCTATAACTCAAAAAGCAAAAATTAATATCAGAAGAAGTAGCATTAAATGAAATATAATCAGGAAAAGTTGTACACAGATTTGTATATCTTTGTGTTATATACCATATTCATGATGTTAAGGGAATGTATATTAAAAAAAACAAAATGTATTTTTCTTTGCAATTTTTAGAATTCAAGTTAATCTGTATATAGTCTAAAGATAAGTGACTGTGCTGAATTAGTAATAAACTGTGATTATTGTATAGACTTCCTCACTTCATTTCCCCAAAGCTGCAACCCATGAATGCATGAGTCACACTCTTGAAATTATATCTTTGGTATTTTTAAGCCATTAATGTGGGCTTTCTGTTGAAATCCTTAGGAAGTATAATACACAATCTGCTCTTTCTTCTTACATGTTTATTGTCCCTTTTGCCCTTATATCTTTACCTTTTGTCCTTGAACTCCCTTTGGACCACGTGGGCCTTGAATTTCAAGGCAGCTCATTTTATAGCACTAAAAGAAAAAGAAAATACAGGTGAAGATTTCATAATATGGTTTCTGTTCCTCTTCTACAAGGGTATCTTGGAGATGTGTGGGGCAAAGTTATATGTAATAGGAGGACGGTCATATTTAATCAGTCTCATTAAATAACTCCACTAAAAACACTTCCTGCTCCTCTGTTATATTGCTATTTATATTTATAACTATATAACTATATATTTATAGTTATATTTCTGTTATATTTATAAGGCTGTCTAATCTGATATCATGCACTTGTGGGTTGCCTTCTGGATATGTGAATTGCACATCCTTTTCTAAGGATTTTGCAATAGGAAAAATAATTCCGTTTCTGTTCAGTTTTTGTACTCTATCCCTTTGTTAATATTTCTGAAGACAAATCCATAAAAGAATTAAGCTGGACTGGATAGATTTCTATGACACTGCAACTCAAGCTAGAATTTATTTTCTGGTAAAAGACGTCTCACTGTATCAGAAGGGGTCTTCTTCTTCTAAACAGAATGCACAGTTGGCAGTGATTCGAAACCTGCAGCTGCATATGGTTTCCAAAAGTTCCTATTCATAATATTGTTGTATGGACACAACCTGTACACTTACCTTTTCAAAGGCATCATGTTTCTGTTAGGGAATGAACAAAAATAAAAGAAAATTATAAAACTGAAACAAAGAAACCAGCATAGCTCTTTCTTTTGAATCTGTCTGGTTAAGCATGTTCCAACAATGTCTGGTTAAGCATGTTCCAACAAAAGCAAAGATAGCTTTTTCTCACCCCATTTTAAAGGAGATATGCAGATTGTATGGCTGATGAGAATTCTTGATTTATCAAACGCAACAGATGGAGTACGGCTATTTTAGTAATAATGACTGATATTCTGCTTAAGGTTTTTTTCTGCTTGATCCTACTTGCAATCAAATCTCGGGCTTCAGATTTTTCATTTTGCCATTTGACATGGAAATCCTAATGCTTTCAAAACTGGATTTTAGAAGCAGAGAAAACGATGCAAAGTATATAGAAGACATAATTTTGTGGAAGAAGTCCAAGATTTGATCCTGGAATTTTCTTCTGTGGCGGACTATGCATGTCAATACTAAAGGGCTCAGATGACTGTACAGCAGTGTGCAGCGCATGGGAACAAACAGGGAGAAATTAAAATCCTAGTATGGAGCAGATGGCAAATATGTCATTGCTAGTATTGCTTACTCTTAGTGGGATAGGATTTATGAATGGAAGGTTATGGTTTGTTCATAAGAAGCAGACCCAACAAAAAAGCCACATTATTCATAAAGGATTACTATTCCTATATGGGATTACTATTCCTATACTATTCCTATATTTACGACACCAAGGCAGGGGTGAAATTCATTTCCCCCCCCCCACTGGCTCTGTGGGCATGGCTGTGGGCATGGCTTGTTATATTTGGTATAATAATAATAGCAACCAGGGGTGATTTTTAACCCATTCAAATCTTGCCTACCACCTCTCCTGAGGTGGGCCAAAAGGTGGTTGAATTTCATCCCTGCACTAAGGTAAAAATCCTTCTGAAAGCTTCTGAGTTAATACTTCTCAGATAAGATTGCTGGAAGTGATGCACAACAATCAGACAATGAATCTTTATTTTGGTCAAAAATCTGAATTATATTCCACCTATTGGTTGAAATTATTTGTAAACAGCCTAGGAAGAACAAGCACTATTATTAGAATCACAGATCTGGGAAGAACCAGGATGAACATGTTGAAACCAAGATAGGCAATGGCTTTCATCCAGCAATTATAAAGATGCTTGAAATGCCATTTCTTCTACTTCTGAGAAGCAGGGAGAGTTACCTGCTCATTTTCCACAAGGGGATTATAGCCAGAGTTTGGAAAAACAAAAGGAATTTTGGGAAGAGTTTATGCACAAAATAGGGCTGGCTACTCTATTTTTAAAAATTATTATTATCTAAGAACAAAGTCAAGCATCATCTTAAATTCTGGAGCAGGTCCTGGAATCCTGTATAGGAAATGCCTCCTTAGAGGTATTTTCAGGTAGCAGGAACAGGAACAATCTCCTTTGGTGTTGTTCCTGTTCATTTCTTCTCTAAAATATTTTGTTTCTAATGATGGCCATGAAGTATTTTCATGCAAATTAAACCAATTAGTGTTTGGTTTTTAGAAAACCATAGCTTGCAGCTCCCACCTTAATAGACAGTAAGTCTACTAAATGATTCAGTAAAACAATGTTCTAAGACAATTCTTAGGCATCAGTTCTTACCATAACTTGGATGATCTTATCCATGGCCTCAGTATCTTCATCAACAGTACCTTTCTTTAGGGTGGCATAGTTGTTCCGGAAAAGCTCATGTGGAAGGCTGGCAATTTCCTGGAGACCATGCTCATAGATTTTCTGGCTAGGGGCCACTGCAAAGAGCTTGATCCCTGCATCTCGCGCTCGATCAGCTTGCTGCTTCATCCCTCCACAGGGATGACCTGTCACATGGCCATCAGTGATCACAACGGCATAATTCGCCCCCAGTGAATTGAGAGGCATCTGAGCCGTCATGTTCGAGAGAGCACAATCTGTGAAAGTGCCCCGACCAATGTAACGGATATTTTTCAACCGATCATTGAATAGCGCCTTGTCTTGGGTTAAAGAACTAAAGATTATCACTATATCTGAAAAATGAAGTCCCCCAATTTGCCAATTTATGGATATTTGTTGTTGGTAGACCTCATTGGCCAGCTTATTGACGAACTGAGTAACAAACTTCTTGCTGTGGTTCACTAAACTCTCAATAGGGTCAGTCTGAAGGGCAATGCTCTCAGATGTGTCAATGACAAAGTACACTGTGATAGGACACTCAGTTTTATCTGTATAAAGAGAAGAGAAGAAAGAAAGTGGTAAGGAGACTAAACACGTTCACATCTACAGACTTGCCAGATGTTCCTAGGGAATGAAACCCTTGGAATTTGTGTAGTTTTTCATTCCCATGGTGCAGTAGCTGAGTTAAAGGTCAGTTGTGAACTGACTCCTACAGCTTCATGAAGACATGAGGTCTCTCCCTCCCTTTTTCCCAGGCCACATTCTCCAAGAAGAGATGATCATTCTCATCTCCATTACAGGGTTAGCATCAATAGGTAACATACAGAATATTGCATGAGCCTTATTTATTTCCACTTGGAACATGTATCCGTTAAACCAACGAGGCTAATCTAAATTTACAGACAGCGAGTACCATAAATGAGAGCTTTGATCAATATAGTTTCTCAGCCTAAAATAATCACATGAATAAACCTCAAGAAGTAACAAAATTATAAGAAACATAGTCACCCTTATGCAAATATCTACTGTATTTATTAAGCTAAATGGACTACTGGAATTTCTTTTTTCTACCCCAGGTACATCTCCTATATCCCTTCCTAGATCAAGTTCCTAGATGTGATGTTCCTCTTTTTAAGCAGGGATCCACAGTGTCTGAAGTAGAACGAGACTGCATTCATATGACACACATCATATTATAATCAGGATGTAAATCCTGCCCTTTTGCCATTGTATCAAACATGCGATGCCAGTGTAAGTCAATTATTTCATCAAGGCATCATAATGCATGCTTCTTCTTTCCCAAAAGCCTACAAATACAGTCTAAAGGCAGTCTGTGCTGCTTTCAGTAACAACTCATCTTTGGTGGACAGGTTTCAGATATGATCAGAATTCAAGCTATAAAGGTATTGATTCAGGGGTGGGATTCAACCGGTGTTACAACCGGTTCGGTCACTACATTTTGCATCACAGTCACATAATTCTAGAAAAAATGTAACTGCTTTAAGGAATTAGAGATATATGAGTATACTGTATGATTGATAACACCATTTTGCCTTTAGATTCAAAGCACCGCAGAATCCTAGATAATCAAATATAAGAGTTTTAGACATGGATTGTAAACATAGAACATCACTACGATTTCTAAATTATTTCTTCTATTAAACTTACAGCTTTACATATTTTCAGAAGGCATGGCAGAAGGAAAAAGCACAAAGAAAGAACGGAAGTAAATCGAGAAACCGTGTTTTTTTTTTACCTGTACAGAGAGTTCCTTCATCATTTTGAGCATGGAGGGGGACCACAGTTGTGCAGAGCAGAACAGCTAAAAAGGCTTGTGGGAACATCCCCACAATTCTCCCGTCTACTTCACGTGCTGCTAGGATAGAATCAGCACAAAAAGTTTTTTAAAAAAATTGAATTGATTAAGACACAAAGTATTGGATGCTGGAAAGGTGCCTTATACAACGTGAGATTTTTAGTCCACCTGGTCTAGCAGAATTCATAGGAACTGCCAAGAAAAGCTGGACAGACTGTAAAGAGAATAGAATTAGAGCTGGAATGGACTGTGGGAGGTCTTCTAGTCCAGCCTCCTGCTCAAGCAGGAGAGACTCCTCAGTGGCCTGTAAGCTCAGCCACCCACCCACTCTTTGGATCCATGCTTCTCCCAGCTGGTTAAAGCAGCTCAGGGGATGTTGTGTGAGCGGGTTCTTGCAGTGATCAATTCTTCCTTGAAGGAGGGGGTTGTTCTTTACCTCTTAAAGAGGTCATGTTTGCTCCCTCCTCGAGAAGCCATCATTGGATCCCAGAATACTGGACAAATATCATCCAGGATCTCATCTCTCTTTTCAGGAGAAGGTGGTAGGGGAAATGGTTGTGCAACATGTTAGAGGGCCTTAGAGGAAGCAGATTATCTGGATCCTCTTCAGGCAGGATTCAGACCTGGCAATAGGATGGAAAAGGCTTTGGTCATGCTTTTGTATGACCTCTGGCATGGGTGGGATGGAGGCAGTGTATCCATCCTTGCCCTACTTGACTCCTTAGGCTTTTGATACCTTCAACCATGAAGTCTTCCTTCTGGAAGAGGGTGGGTAGCAGAGTGTTGTGTTGCTTGTCCTCTTTCCTTTGGGGTCTGTTCCAGTCAGTGATGTTGGAGAAGAGAGGTCTGGCCCAAGTCCCCTACTATGTGAGGTGCTTTTATCAGTACGCTAATGATACCCAATTATATATCTTCACCTCTGGCAAATTAGTAATGATGATATGGATAGCTTATCTCTCTGTCTGGAGGCTATGAGTGCCTGGATGGGGAACAAAAGGCTTCCGCTGAACTCTGACAAGACTAAGAAGCTTTGAATTTTGGAGCCCACAGATTCCATCTTTGGTGCTAAATAGTATTGCGCTACCCTAGACAGAACCAGTGCACAATCTGGGGGTCCTGCTAAACTCACAACTCCTACTTGATGAGTAGGGAATAGCTATGACTAGGAGGGCTTTCGCATAGCTTTGTTTTGTGTGCCAGTTTTACCCATTCTTGGATCTGCAGCCCTGCTCAGAGTCATTCATATCATTCATGATTGAACTATTGCAATACACTCTACATGGGGTTGACTTTGAAGAGAGTATCTAGAATTTTCAACTGGTACAGAATGCAGCAGTATGGGATGTGCGCTCCTAGGTCAGCATGTATATCTCTGCTCTGCCAGCTGCATTGGTTGCCAGTTTACTTCTGAGTCCAATTCAAACTACTTTGAAGTCTTTTATGGCATTAGATCAAGCTATCTGAGAGACCAACTCTCTCTGGCTAGATCAGCCTGCCCCACTAGATCTGGCAAAGAAGGCATACTGTGGTTGGGATCAACTAAAGATCTACATTTGATGGGGCACAGGATTCAAGCTTTTTCTGCTGTGGCGCTACCTTACAGAATCTCTTTCATTTTAAATCTGCTACCATAGAGATTTGTCTCTTTGCTCCATTTTTGATTGAGCTTATTCCATAAATTTACCACACTTTTATGGGCAGTCATAATGAAATGAGAAAAAAAAAACCACATTAACTGGATGAATGTGGAGGAAGGGGATGGAGATGTTTTATCATTAATCTGAAATTTAAATCAGGATATTTATTTCATCAGTCTTGGGGAATACCTTGGTTTTAGTGGAAGTTATCTGGTACAAATCCAATATGAATGTGGCCTGATGGAAGGACTATTTTATTTATATTTATTTATTTAATGAACATATACAGCCACCCATTGCCCAGAGATTTCTGGATGGTGACAGAAATAAAAATATTAACCAAACTACACAAACCCATTAAAAATAAAGTGGGCCAAGGTCCTAAAAATCCCACCACATTTAATACAACTATATTCATACCAGAACTCCATCATCATCCTGGCCGGGTGTCTAGGGAACCAAATCTTCACAACCTTCTGGAGAACCAGCATGATTGGGGTGTCCATATCTTACTTTATCATAAGTTAAACTAAGTGTGCTTCTAGTCTATAGCTAATAAAATAAATAAAATGAGGACTCCCTCATACAAAATATATTTTGCATGAAACATTGGGGTGCAAACAAAATGGCTGTATACATAATGGCAGACTTCATGTGATGACATCATGGTACAGATTTCACCATTTTGGTGTCTCTGGTTTGTAACAGATGCCAAGAAAAAGAGTATAATTACTACAGAGTAGTGTTACTTCTCTCATTAGCAGTTGGGGAGAAGGGAAGTTTTCTATGATATAGCAGATATGGATAATTGGGCAAAGTATCCATAGTCCTGTATTAAGTGGCTGCTTTTGTATCTTTTCTGAGAGATACCACAGCAGTTTAAGGATCTACATTTGTGGGATTCTCTAAATCTATAACAGTATTTTTCATCCCAGCTGTAATGTTTTCAGTGTACAAGCAATAGCAATAACATTTAGCCTTCTACATATACCACTTCATAGTGCTTTACCACACTTTCTAAGCAGTTTAAAGTGTCAGCATATTGCCCCCAACAATCTGGGTCACTTTACCTACACAAAACATGTAAAAGATTAAATCATGGCAACTGGACCAAAGTTTATTAAACTGAGAAGTTTCGTTACTCATCCAAGTAAACTTCTTCAGTCAAAATGAACATTTTTGGTTAGGCATAGAGAATCGTTGGAATGAACTAACTTTTGCAGGGGGTTCTATCCAAAATGAAGTGCAATATGTACATGTAGACTCAATCATTGAGGCCAAAAGCATGTAGAAGGTTAAATCATGGCAACTGAACCAAAGTTTATTAAACTGAGATGTTTTGTTACTCATCCAAGTAACTTCTTCAGTCAAAATACCTTTTACATGCTTTTGGCCTGGATGGTTGAGTCTACATTTACATACAAAATTTCTACATGGCAGTGAGAGAGTCTGGCCTGATTCACTGACATTGAAATATACTCATTGGCATTGTTTCTGGAGTGTACCATCTCACCATGCAGGGCTTATTTTCATGAATAGTATTAAATAAAGTGTCCACCCTCCCTGAGAGCAATGCCCTTTATATGTCAATGGAAGGAATGGCATTTGTTTGGAAGAGCACCCCATCATGCAAGCAATCTCCCTGCTCACACTGAAACACAATTGTGGATTTCCCCCACCCCCCTCCCATGTCCCTAGCCTCATCAAGAATCAGCCCAATGACTTGCCCCCCATCAATGAACTCTGGAGGTGAGAAGAACCTCCCAACTGCACAACCCCTGCATCAGTGCCCAGATCACATCCTGTTCAAGAACAACCTCCCAAGGTTGTTCTAAAAGAGGAGTGGATTCCCACAATAGGAAGGTATTTTCCAGGAGGCCTAAAATGCAGTTCTCAGCAATGTCTTTCTGATTTCATTAGATATTAGAAGCTTCACAGGTTTGGGGGGTTCTTTTTCTTTGGCTTCCACACAGTCAGTTACGCTTAAGAAAAAATAACTTTAAAATCTGTATCTAGATTCTAAAAAACACTTGGATGTTCCTGAAGTATTTTACTTAAGAAAAACAATGAGATCATAAACGAGCGTTTACCTGTTAGAAACTCTGGTACAGTCTATATATTCACACATTCTTCTACAGTTCAATAATCAAGAACATTTTGCAGAGACAATGTTTCCAAAGAAAGGAAAATAATCAAGATTGCAAATAAAAATTCTTTTCCAACTCTGATATTAAAGAAAGGCAATAGACAATGAAGTCTTTTTCAAACAGAAATAAATACTGAGCTGCATACTGAGCTGTGGCTTCTCCCCATAACTTGAGTCTCATAAACCTTAGAACTGAGGAATATAAGCTGTTAATGAAAGTAACATTTTACCCCTACAAATCTTATTTGATCTGCAGCCATTTTAATAAAGTCACTACACTCTCAGTTCTTAGGTTTAAAGTGCTTATATTTATGATTAAACACATCAGGCATTTTTCAGGCCTGCAAATCGAGGAATTCCAGCTGTAGTTTGGGTCTCTAAATTGCATTGTGAATTTACATGGAAAACAGATTGTATAGGAAAGTTAACTCTCCTTTATGTTTATATTTCAGAAATATGTGGAACTTAAAACAACTTTTTCCAGTATGCTACAGTAGATTACATTTCTCTGCTGAGCAAAAAGCATAGTAATTATGTAACAACAAGCTGCTATAGGTGCCCAGAGTGGAGACATTTGTTAAATTTTCATATTAACAGCTAGTCTTGATTTTGTTTTCTTAACAAAAGGAGACATTGAATAGTTCCTCTAACATTGGCCATTATTATTAAGAATATTCTATTCTATTCTATTCTATTCTATTCTATTCTATTCTATTCTA